TTTGTTTGCGAGCGGCAGGTAAGAGAGTTTTGCTGTTTTATTGGCTTTTGAAGAGGCTCGGGCGAGCGAAGATAAAGTGTTGCTACAATGTTTTGGTAATGACTGTTTGGGCCGCGTTTTACTGCTGCAGGCTTGGCTTGTTTTTTTTTGTTTTTTTTTGTTTTTTTTTTCTGGGTACCGCTGCTAATTTTTATGAGATGAGTTAGAAATACATATCAACGACTTTATTTTACAATGTATATCTTGCCACACGCAAACTCACATAAAACAAAGTTTATTCAAAGACAAAGTATATTGGTCAACTGGTAATTTTTCGAGGACATCATCCGATCCATGGAGAAAAATCTTTGCTTATTTCAATGAAAATATTGTAAAACTGAAATTGATCTCTGGTACAGCATATATTTCTCTTAGAAATATCTTATACAACACAAATTTCTAAAAGAAAATGATTAATGTTGATTGATTCAAATAAATATTTTATAATTAAAACGTCGTTTATTCGTCTATAACAATAACAGTATTTAGTGTATTTTTAGTATATTACACACACACACACGCGCGCGCGCGCTCGGTGTACGCTCATAAAAGGCTACTGCAAATTTTCGCAGATGATTAAATGTTGGAAAAGTATGTCACTATAGTTGGTATAAATTTTATATGAATTATTGATTGGTTTAATGATACTAACTTTGCTCTATACGGCAGTTTATCTTCGAATAAACATAGTAGACAATAAAAGTTAGAAATCCGTAGATTATCACAATAAAATATTGTACAATAATTTCGGTTTTATTCAGTTACATGAAATACAAGAACATTTTTGTGAAAATACACTAATCAGAACCGTGAACGTCTACCAAAGGATATTTACATCATTAACGTATATGATTAATCTGACTTTTCTCCATTTTACTGTCGAGTGTTGCGGCTGGCCAGCACTCGTCGTAGCCACTTCGTGCTTACTCGCCTACAGCTCTCAACCGCGACTCTTGATAAAAAACTTTTTTTTTTTAGTAAATGTTTTTAGAACTGATATTACGAAGAAAAAAAAGACGAAAAAAGATGAGCGCGTTACGCGCAAAACATCACTAGTAGTATTGCAGATTTATTGAGCTTAGAAAAGCCACTCAAGATCTTCGAAACACTTATCCATATCGAATAAATATTTGTGAAATCAAGCAAAATAATTAGTTTATAGAATTTTTGTAATCGTAAGTAAATTTTTCTGTAAGGTGATTGAAATTCGATCAATAGTATTAAATGTTATTTTTTATGAAACAACGAAATTATTCTCGAAAAGATTCGGTTGAATTAAAAAAAAAAATTTCTCGATCGTGTGCAGTCTGCGCATCCCGATCGAACGGATATTTACGCAGAACGCGCAAAGTATCTGTTTCGATGTTCGGTCGTACTCTAGACAAACGGAAGAGAGTGTTAAATTGATAAAATAGAGAAAGCAAGCGTACGAGGTCGCGTTTGCACGAGTGCGACTGTCGATCGATGAATCGACGGCGGAAGATGGTCCGAGCGAGAGCCTTGCGCAGAGAGGTGCGCGCGTGCTCTCTCGCATAGAAGCGTCGCCGTGGCCGGCAATTCTTACGCGCGCGCTTGCGGCTTTGCGCTTCGTTATGCAAATAATGCGCTCGCTCTCTTTCTTCTTTTTCCTTTTTCTCTCTTCATCTCCTCGCCGTGTGTATTTCGCTTGCCTTTGTTTTCGCTTATAACTTCTCTTCTTTTATTGTCTCCATGATAATCCTTTCGCACTTTGTCTCGCGGATAATTTCAAGCTCTAATTAAGCGTTTTTGCATTATTCATCGCGCGCCTCGTGAATTATACACAGAAAACTCGTTCACTTCGAGACGGAAAAAAGAAAGAAAGGAAAAAAGATAGTTCGAGAAGCGAGTGCCGCAGACGAGTTTAATTAATTTTTACAGTCGCGCTTACCGGCGACGTAAATAAGTAGAGTTGCAGGTCGAGCGTTTGTCTCGTCTCACCCTCCGCGGCAAGGCACACGTGGCGTGCGCGCCAACCGAACTTTCGTTGGGGAGTCCAGTTAGCTAATGGCACGCGGGCCCGTAATTATTATTCGCGAGTCGGGGTAGGGTATATCCGGTGACTGACTGTGCACGACGCACGTCACGCGGAAAAAGAAGAGAGAGAGAGAGAGAGAGAGAGAGAGAGAGAGAGAGAGAGAGAGAGACGGTACACAAAAGGGAATTTAAGTGGCCGCGCCGCCAGGCTGAACTTGAAATTATGCATTCATGAAATGTATCGCGACGCGCCGATCTCCGCGCTCGCCGGAGAACAGGAGAGGGAAAATTTGAATGACTAATTGATTGTCAGGCGGCACGGCGCTGTCTCGAGCCGCGGATCGCTGTTACACAACAATAAAACGATAAAGCGGTCCCAGGCTCGCAATCTGTTTTTCACCGTTCCGCAGGTCTTTTTTTTTTTGTTTGGGGTTCTCACGGTTAACTTTATTGCGGGCTTGGGTGTGAATTTTGTCGGAGTTTGATATTATACCTTTACGGCGCACCTGCTAAAAACCACTTGGACGCCGACGTCGGCTGCTCTGACGTTCTCGCATGAGCCGCAATAAACTCGTAAAAAAGTAACTCGCAGCTCTCTCGTGACAGCACGTGCGTGCGCGAGTCAACAGAGTCTTTTGATAAACACTGATGGTTATTACCGCGCATCACTCTATCGTTCTCCAACTGATATTTTCGCGGCGAATCTTGTAAAACTAAATGTGTTCGTGCCAGGCCTTTTTTGGTGCATAAGCGTGTGTTCAAGTTGCAAAAATCATTATTTGCGAGAAAATATTGCAAAAGTTAACCCTCCAAAAAGCTTTGTACGATACCTTAACAGATTTACTTCTAAATTTAAAAAACTGAGTAATTAGTTAAGCTAATAACAAATGCTACTAAATGCTTTCAACTATTTGCTAAATATATATTCATAACAATGATATTTACACATCGATTACACCCTCGTGTTATGGAATAATTTCAAGTGTTGTCAAAAATAAAAGAATAAGCCGGTTTGATTGTTTGCGAAGATGCCGTGATTCCGCTGTCAGTTTTGTCACATATATAAGGAACGATATTTTCTGAGTACCTGCCTTATGCTTATTTATTAAGATTTACACAATATTCTAAGCAAATAAACTTTCAGGCAACTGGCACATAATGCTAACGATGTTATTGGCTTATTATCACTAGTCAAGAATAAAAATTTTTATTAGTGTGTCGAGAGAATTATTACTTTTATTTGCTTTCACTAACACTTGGTTGCTGCGAGTTATTATTTAAATAATTTAAGAAGCCTTGTAAATGCTGATTTCTTTATCGAAGTGTATATTAATGTTCAAATTCCATAATAAAATGCTTGATTTTTTATCTTCGAGCATAATTTTATCTTCACCATAGAGTATACAAAAAATATTTTAATTAACAGAAAAAACGGCTCTATTTTTTCAGTTCAATTGAAACTCTAGGACAAATTTGTTTTTGTTGAGCGTTCGTCGGATAACTATAACAATTTTTCTATCGTCGCCAGCGATGTCATCATTTTTTTTCTATTTGAATTAATGTCGCTTGTTTAAATATATACTCAAGTGTGAAATTCGAAAAACATCTCATCATATTTTTACAGATTTTTAACTGTATTTAGTCCTATTTTGGGATAATGCGATAATATATGCAATAGTGAATACATTTACATGTATTCACACAAACGTAATTTATCAGCATAATTTACGATGTCGACACAATTTGTACATGTCGTCCACAAGAGTGAAAAGCAAGATTTTTAAGCAGAAACACTTTGAGGTTCCTCTAATTTTTTCAACTACGCAAAAAATACCGAGCCATAGAATAATAATTGGCTTCTAAAAATTCGTTGGGCAAAATCGAAGCCAACCGACAATTCGTTTCCCAAGAAACTCATGGAGACATAAACGTGCGGCCATAGGGCTCAATTACAACAAATCAACGCCTTGGGAGCCTAGACAATAGCCCTTCGGCGTCAAACGCGCGCATACAAAGAGATAGGAACATTGAGCGAAATCATTTGAGGATAAAGAACCACGCCTCTCTTACTTTCGCGGCTGCGAGCTCTTGGTTGAAAAAATATTCGACAGGTGTGAGCACGCAGCGGCAACGGCGGCGGCGGCGGCGCAAATCAAAGGAGAACGGACGCTCTAAACCCACTAATAATGCCAAGCACCCCGGCGTTCTCAGCTCCTGCACTTATTACCACCCTGCAGATCCAAGCGAATTTCGGCAGTCTTCGACGCGCGTGCGCGCGCGTGTGTGTGTGTGTATGCGTATGTGTGCGAATAATTGCACGGACGCGCGAGCTTTCAAGCCTGAAATATATGGCGCCGAAAATTATAGCTGTAGTTTTTTTAATATTCAAATTTGTTCTGTGGTTTCGCCGAGATACTTTTTTATGGATTCATTCCATAATATATTCGATTATAATGTTCTATGAGTTCATTTTTGAATGAATTATACGTTTTTGTTTTCTTGAGTTTTTGTTTTAATATTTGTAATGTTATCCATATGTTCATTATGCTTAACCCTTAGCTGATTTACTGACATGTTAAATCCTGCAAATGACAGCCCTCTCCTCCTTTTCAAGTTTTCCGATTTTCATTTCTTTAAAAAAATCATTTTTTGCCAATAACATTAGATGTTATAAAACAAATAGTGAAAGATTGTCGATGATTTTCTTCTGCTTGAAAACGCTATAGTCGATTAAAAAGAAGTGACTAGTTGATTGAGGTCATGAATATACTATTCGATATTCCAGTATACCAGTCATCGATGTTCTCAAAAGTATCTCATAATTTCAAATCCACTAAAAATGCGAAGCTGTCGCCCTCTATATAAACATCTATAGTTTGTTTGTACTATAGTTTTACATACGCGGTTCTACATACTATATATATATAGCAGAAGACAAAACAGGAGTACGATTGCTGCATGTAAAACTCGCGCTCAATTTTCGTTTTTTATGATCCGTTAATGATATGTAAAATATGAAGAATTTAATTTAATGGTACGTAATTATATATAATATCAATTAACAACATGAACGAAGATTTATTACAGCGAGTGAAAAGCTCGCTGAATAGACAATATTATACAATGAATCATTCTTGGTTGTCTGACTGTGTTGATTATTACACGAGTCAGCATGAAAATGTAAGATATTTTCTTTATTTTTAATACCAATTATGTTGTTGATTTAAATGATATTATTAAATAATAAATTAACAGCCTAGGCAAGATGAAATAACCGCATTTGTTATACTTCAATGGAATTTGAATGACATGAGAGAAGTAAACAACGAAAATGGTTGCTTACCAAGAAATTTAATTAACCAAAAATGCATAACTTTACCTGGAAAATACATTCTTCAGGTCTGTCACCTAGTATTTTTTCAATTCCACCTCCTAACTAATATAACTAATTTTTTGTCTTTTTAGGTCGATAAGCTGTATGACATTTCATTATCTAAGTATAAACAGCTTGAAAAAATTAGAAATGTTTCACTTGAAAATATTGAAGCTACAGAAAATGAAAATAAAATGCAAGATGATAAATTTCAAACATGGGAACCAAAATCTAAACGAATGTTACAATTATTTATGACTGATGGAGTTCAAGACATATTGGGTATTGAGTATAAAAGTATAAGATTTCTGAATGTATGATATAAAATATAGATAAAATTGAAATTTTTTATAAGCATCTAAATTTATATATTCTTATTTTAGGAATTCAAGGAACCTGGTTTTAAAGTATTGATCAAAGGCCCAGTTATTTGCAGGAAAGGAGTCTTACTATTGGAAGAAAAGAATATTGAGGAAAAAGGAGGGGAAGTCGAAAGTTTACTAGTTCCTAATGCACTAGAAAATGTGTTGGCCAGAGCTTTGTAAGTCATCCATTAGTTTTCAAAATATATATTCAATTTTGTTATTCTTGAGAATATAAACAAATGTAATATATATATTTTTAGAAATTTAGAAGAAAATAAAGATCCATACAATAATAAAAATAAACCAAACCAAAATACTGAGGGTACTCAGAAGACTGTACAAATAGATGATGATTTTGATTTTGATTCTCAAGCATTAGATCAGATAGACACACATATTCAACAAAAGAATATAAATGCCTGCAAAAATTCAGCTACTTCTAATTGGAACAACAAACAAAGTCAGAGCTGCTTAAGTGACTTGAATTATAGTTATCAAACACCAAGCATTTCCAATCAAACACAAAATTCAAATATATCCAGTGTAAGGAATCAAAGACTCAACTCAACAAGCGCCTTAAATAATCAAAAGAATAATAAAATGCAACAGAAAGATAATGAAAAGATGATTGTCGATTTTGATGATGAGGGTGATTTATTTTTGAAAATGGTAGATGGTTCAGAATTTAAAACTCCATCTGTGACAATAGCATCCACTGTACAGGGTAAAGTTAATGTAAAGAAGACTTTATCATCAAAAAGTAAAAAAGATGAATTTCCAGTTGACAATGAAATATATGACCTAACATACTCTCATTCATCATTCTTTTCGTCATCAAAATCAAAGTCTCAATCTACAGTGACTAAAATTAGTTCACAGAAAAAAGATTTGCCTAGTAATACAACAAGCAGTCCAAAATACATTTATAATCAGAAGCAGTTAGATAGAGAAAGTAGTTCTTCTAAAACAAAGTCGAAAGACAATTCTAGTGTTGCTTTGAGTTCTAGAAATACATCAAAAATGGCATCTCAAAACAAAAATAATATTATATCTACACCATTAATAAGTGATATAGATAATTTAGAACATGATTTAGATTTAAATGATATAGATTTTGATGGTTTTGATGACTACTACAATGCAGATACAAAGCATGTAAAGAATTCAAAACCTACTCAAGCATCTGCAAGCATTTCACACATAACTAAAGACAAAAGTGCATTTTCACAAGATTCACCACTAAAGTTTAATACAAACTCATTAGCTTCTACAGACGAAACTTTCTATGAAAATGAATTTCCTGAAGATTTTTATGAAAGATGTAAAAAGAAATTATTGACAACACAAAAGTTAAGTCAAGACACAATAAAAAGTTTGCCCAAATCAAATAAGAATCAATCAGTCACAACATGTATTTCTCAAGTTAATAAACCATCATCAGCAAAGTTATCAGACAGGCTTAAACTTGATAATAAAAATAAAGATTACTACAATACAACTAATAAATTAGAAGAGAAGACTTGTAGATCTAGCCAAGCATCAATAGGTAGCTTCTTTAAATCAGAAAATATAGATCGAACAACAAAACATCCAGTTTTTCAAACAGACAAGACATCTATTAAAACTAAAGTTGAAAGTCAGCATTTGTATGAAAATTTAGATGCAACTTTTGAAAATGATTTTGATATTGAATTTGAAGCTAGAAAAGAATTAGATCATAAACCATTTGCTCAACAAATGCAGGAAAAGACATTAACATTAGATAAAGACCATAATTTCGAAAATTCTACAATCACATCTCAAAATTCAGAAAATTGTAACTTGGATCCGTTGATTGGTTCTAAAAGATCAGCAGTGTGTATATATATTTTTTTTCATTTTTCATGAGGTCGTGAGAGTAATTCTTTGATCTTCTTTTTGTTGCTTTCAGAGTTTAATGTCTCCTAGCGTAAATAATCGACAAAAATTACGTTGCTTGGAAATTACGCCAAAAGACAATACCAGCAGTAGAAAAATTACCGATTTTTTCAACAAGCCGAAACCAGAATTGCTCAATGACTATTTGCCTTTATACGAGGCTATTTGCGACGTGTTAGAAAACTCTCGTAAAACAGATAGAATTCGAACTGTAGTGAGGGGAAAAGTTATAAATATTGTGAAATTGAATTTATTAAAAAACGAACACGGATCTTATTTTCATTTAGATGGCACTATCACGGATAGCACAGCTAATTTGGACGTAGTATTTTGTTCAGATGTAATTTACAATATTCATACAAATATAAATAATATTATACGCAATTCTTATGATAACAAGAAAAATAAATCTATTATCTTTCAGGTACTAGAAGAAATTGTTGGATATAGTGTTAATGAATTTATTTTGAAAAGAAAACAAGCTAAAGCTGATCCCAAGATAAAAGATGAATTAAGAGATGTAAGTATAATTTATTGAAGTTTGAACAATTAGATCATATAAATTGATTGTTTTTACTTTATTACTGTTTATCTCTTTTTAATTACTTTTCTTCAAGGATTTGAAAAAGGCACAAAGTACGTTAAGAGTTATGGATACTTTGATGGAAATTGAAGTAAAGAAGGACGAGAAAGCAATGATCATTGGAATTAGGCCTTTGTCGAAATCAGAAAAAAATCGAATAGATGAGAGATTACAACGACATAAAGCAGAGAAAAATATCCATAAGTAGTTTGAGATCACATTTATGATCACAATTACACAAGGATCTAGTTTGCCATTACAAGTTCAATACTTATTTTTTTATATCATTGCGTTAATTATATATTTATATAAAGAAAATTGTATATACACCTGAATAGTTTTTTTATTTATTAAATTCATTTTACTTTAAAGATTTTAAAGAGGCAAGGAAAAAATCAAATATTAAATGCAAGCAAATTAAAAAATGGCGGGTGTTGTATAATCGAATCCATCGATATATCGAATGAATTTTTAAAATGGTGGATCACATAAACGTTATATTTACACTTTACATTTTAAACAGATTTTTCAAACAATATGCGTCATAATGGGTAAGTATATTTTATTAATTTTCAACAAAAAAAAAAAACAATTGTGTACAACTCACGTTAAAATTACATTGTAATCAGATCAGATTTTATATTTATGTTACATAGCATTAATACATATTTATTCACATTAAATAATTAATGTACAAAAGATAGTCTTTTTTATACACACTGCTTTGTGTTGCAGAAAACCAAAATAATGATGATTTGGAAGAACAGTGCGAAGATACTGTATATAAAATCTGCTGTACAAGAGAACATTATTCTGCTCGATGTGCAAAATATTTTGAAAAATATTTAGGATTAGTTACTAAAAAGCAGGTATAATACTATTTAAGGATTATTTTAATATTTTGAAATACAATGTAATTTTTTATATTATCAAAATTTTACTCTTGCAGACTGCAAAAGTTCAAGTAAATCTTGTATCAGATTTTGTCCAACCTGCAATTACAGAAAGACAACAGAAACTTTATCATGATTTCATAAGTGAAAGTAAAACTCACCAATCAAAGAAAAAAGATGATGCTCGTGAAATCTTGACTAGAATTAAAGAATTAAAAAGCATTTTAAACCAAATAGAAAGGTCTAAGAAGTCTGAATTCCAGCAGTTGTTAATGGATTGAGCATGTGAATAAAACTAGCCATCAATGCTAGCCATTTTATTATTTTTAAATACAAGTAGTTAGGGATAAAATATTTCACAATGAATAAATTTATTTGTAATACTTTTAATATTTTTTTTATTTAAATATGAAACAACGTTCATAAAATTACAAGCATATACAGTATAGAAATGAAATGCATGAATTTTTATACATTGTGTGTTTTGATGTAGAAAAATCTACCGTAATGGAAGATCTGAAAAATTGTCAACACTTACAAATAATGAACGTTATTTAAAAACTAGAATTCTCTTTACAATTCATAAATAATTATTTGAATACTACAGAAAACATAAAATAATTATTGCAATTTATACAATGCACTCTATATATAAACTATAGCAAAAATTTGCTTATTTCAATAAACAATTTACAAAGAGTGACTTTTATATTGTTTATAAAACTCATTGAAATGCATGATAAGTTGAAAAAGTTTATCAATGCTTTCAATTATCCAAGCATTTATACATATTAATTTTTAGTTACATTCCTTTATCTTGGCATACATTTTCTATAAGAAAAATCTTATATGCACATTGTATTATCTAGGAATATTTGTTATATCCATTCATTCAACTAATACTCTAATTTTATACTGCAAATCCTAAATCATTATCTAGGAATATTTTTTATATCCATTCGTTCAACTGATACTCTAACTCCATACTGCAAATCATTAATCAGTTTCCACACTTTAACTTTTATATCCTTTCTTTCATTACCATTTACAATAACAGATTTGCAAAACTTCAATGCTTTCGTATTCTGATCATTTATACTTCTTTTTCGCTTTCTTGATAATCCACTCGATTGAGACATAGTTTTGTTCTCTTGATTTTCAAGCTTCTTTTCTGTCAATTTTTGAGCTCTTGTTTCTATAGAACGTTTACTTGTTTGTAATCTTTTAGTTTTATTAGATTTTGAATTTTCAAGAATTGGCTTAGTTTTTGCCATATCTTCTGGTAATAATTTTTCATCTATTTTTCCTAGTATTTTTGAATTTGATCGAGTCAACCTTGTATTATTTGATGAACTAGAATTGGAAACTTCACTATTCTTGATTGTAGTACTTCTACAAATTTTCTTATCACTAATTACTTCAGACTCTATTACACGTTTTTCAATAATGCTATTAGGACTCAATTCTATAGCATTTTCTTGATTACTCCCGTCTTCATGCCTCTGTATAATTACTTTAACATTGTATTCCATAACTTTTTTAGATTTTTCAACACATTGGACTTTTACTGAATTTTTAACTTTAGAACTTAATTCCTTGTTTATTGGAGTGTCACTTTGAGGTTTAATTTTTGCTTCAATTTCAACAGTTTTCTCTTGAACACTTTGTTTATTATTATTTTGAGGAACATTATTGATTTCGTCACTGTTTTTATTATCAGTTTTTTGAGACACTTGCTGTGTTGCACTCTTATTATTCTTTAAAGATTTTAAAATTGCTGCAGGTATTTGATCATTTGTGATGAGTTCATTAGAAATTACTTTAGGAAGTTTTGAAGTATCTTTGGTACCAGCTCCATTTAAAGTCACTGGACTGTCTGATTTACAAACGTCACTTTTTAAAACCACTCCTTTGTTAACTATATTATCATCAAATGGTTCAATGTCATCCATGAGTAAATCTTCAAAATTATCCACAGCAGAAGTATTTACAGAGTCTAATTTATCATTAAAGAATACTTGATCAACTAAAGCTTCTGGCACGATATCTTCGTCTTTCAATTCATACTCTTCGTCGGTATGATAAATATCAGTGTCATTCCAAACTTTTCCGAATGTTTCAAAAGCAGAATTAGAGAGATTTTTATTAAAAAACTGGGATAGACAGTTGGCTGTATCCATGGTGTCGGTGTTTTCACTTTTTTCTTTAGTCGATTCCGCTTCGCTAAGTCTTTTCTCGTTGTCTATATTAATTTTGTCCGCCAGGTCGACAAAAGAAATGAGCGCGTTCTCGCTCGTCCCATTTTGCTTTTGCGCAGGAAGAGAGGCGGGATCTTGTATTCGTGTCACCATTTTTTCAAGTCTCAGCAAGCTCGAATTCAACAAGCACTGATCACCTTCTTTTGTCTCGACTTTTTCCGAATTCTCTAGCACTTCATCGACTTCTAATTTAGTTTTCTGTTCGACGACCGTGACTGTATCATTATCTTGCCTAATGGTAAACATAAGTCCTTTCATAACCAAATCGGTAATATCGGAAGACTTAAGATTGGCAACTTCTGGAGGTGGAGCTGTATCATTATCCTTGGACTCTTGTCTCGATCTAAGTTTACTGTTGCTTTTGCGAGAATCCGATGACTTGGAGCTGTTATCGATGTCGTTGCATATGGAAGAGTTGCACGATTTGACCGAAGGATGAGTGTTGGCAGTAGCCGCGTTGTTTTCTTTAGACTCGTTCTTGTCAGAAAGTCGCGAGTTGAGCAGTTCTCGCTCGATATCACGCTCGATAAGATACTGATAAGGTAAACTCGCGGAGTCGGATTGCGAATCATTACTGTCATTGCTATCCTCGTCTTCGTTGTCAATTGGTTCTTGTTTTTCCCGCCTCTCGGCTAACGTTGCTGCTGTGTCATCTGCTTTCGTCAGCTCGTTCCCGCAATCGGAATCCATCATGTCTTTTTCACTTATATTACTATTCACCTCGTCTGTATTGCAGTCATCGACATTCTTTTCGGTTGCCGCCTTTTTTGCTACCGGTTCAACGGTCCTACAACAGTGAAATAAGCAAATTTATTCTATGAATTCCGATAAGGACATTGACATTTCGAGGTAAAAAAAGTGACATCTAGTAGAGAAGTGAAGCACGTGGTCAGTGACATGCACATTTTGTAGCAAAACAAAAATATAAAGAAAAAACTTAGCTATTTGTTTTGTCTAAAAAATATTTAGCAAAAATATATACATCGTTGTTGTGTCTGTAGAGCCACTACCGCCGTCGCCATCACCGTCTGAATCTTTAAGTTGTGAGCGCGTACGCAGCGACCAAGAGATGCTACTGTCGTAATTTTTATGTACACTCTCCCGATGACCATTCATAGTTGCTGTTGTGTCTGCTACCGATTCATCTTGCACTGAACTCCCTGACGGTGGCTGCCACACCGCTATAGTGTTGATGGCGGCTGTTTCTGTGGTTGTGCGCATCAACAGATCAGCAGGTGCGGTTTTGGCCGATGTGCCGCCCATATTTTTTTCTTCGGCTTCTTCGTACTTCTGATTTACGATTGTCTCTACTTGTTGATTCAACAACTTGACCGTCAGAATAAACGCATGTGGAAATGCAATAGCGTCCGGTCTGTCGCAAAATTTCATTTTGGCGAACATCTTATCTTGCCGCGTCCACGAGGCATGATCTTGATTGGTGCGGTCGGTTAAGGAAATTAACAGATTTTTAGTACTTATATTCAATCACTCACGACGAAACAAATCAATTTCGGTCGATTGAATGCTGTACCGAATAAAAGTACTGTTTTAAATTACATAATTGTTAAGTAGACTATAAATATTAAATTTAATACAAATTTCTGGGGAAAAAAATTATTACAATTTACAATAAATAAATTAACAAGAAATTAATTTTTTTGCATAACTGTAAAAGGATACTGTAGGTTACAAGTAAATGTTTTGTGCCAAAGTGTTGTCCTTGCTTTGGTTGCCACTTAATAATTCGCCTAATAATTTTCATCAATTCTTTGCTGTGTGGAAAATTTTCTGCACTACTGCTGACAATAAAATATTTTATTATTAATAAAAAATCACACATCATTAAACTTGAGGTTAAAAAATTATTCATTACTAATAACACAATACTTTTTGCACAATTAAGTTCAAACACTTGATCATAACACAGCTTATCTTTAAATTAATAATTCATATAACACATCATACTAGCTTTTAAACATATTATTGCATACACATATAGACATACATTACATATGCTACATTCTACTTTTAATACTGATAAGATTAGTGTAGTTAGCATTTCACAATACAACAGCATGAGCAGTAGGAAAAGCAGTACAGAATTAGTAATAAAAAATTTTCTTTATTCAAATTGTGAAAAATATTCACCTTGTTGATTTATTGAACTTGAACATAAATTTATAAATATTATTTTTGTGACATAACCAATAAGAACCAGGCACAGTTAATGTTGGTTCTTTGTCCCTGTCTTCCCAATGAAGTTTGCCAAGCGAACGTACATGTATTCCAGGCATTCTCTTTCAGGTTTCAAATCACGAAACAAAGGAATAAGCCTTATGTGTTGCTGGCCATTATTAGTGAACTCTCTAACTATAAATGTCAGATAATACAAAACTCTTTGCTGAAAAATTAATATATTATTACAAATAAAGCTTAAATTTGTTATGAATATTTTTATAAAAGCTTACTTCTGTGATAACTTCATTAATAATAATATCACTTATACTATTCCAAGGTAAGTATTCTTCAAAAGTTCCTAAAAGAGTTTTTTGACTAATAATGTGAACACCAACAGATTCTACTAGCAATAAAGTATCTGTAAAAAATATAGAATTGTATTATACCAATTTTTTCTGATAGTATGTGAAACATGAAGAATTTATATATCAAATATTAGACATAAGTATTATTTTCAATGTTATTAATGTAAACAATTTAATTTTTTATATATTAAATCAATATTGTTCATTTACAGTAAGCTTATAATTCATAAGTAATTTCAAAACTGTCTTCGTTACAGCCTCAAACTCAATTATAGCTTATATAGTTCATTATTATTATTTAACACCAAACCTTCTTTATCTATTAGTTTCATAACACATGATATGTATACAAGATTTCAAAATACTATAATTTTAAGCATAGACAAAAAGTATCTAAAAAAAGATCTGAAATATAATTAATAATGGATAAAAAAAGAGGCAACATTTTGATTTAATTTAATTAAAACAACTTGAAAACTGATATATCTACAGGATTTATTTATTCTAATTTAACATTTTAATTTGATGCAATTTATAAGTCTGATTAATTAAAAATTGTAACAAAGAATTGAATAACCTTATAAAGTATACTTCCATTAAGGGATTGATATTTCAATTAGATTTTGCTTCAAAGGTCATGATAATTATCTAAAGTGCTGAAGGCAATTATAAATTGTGTTTATTCCATTTAATGTCAAACAATATATAAACCTTTTTTTAAAATACTTATTAACTTTTTATACATCAAATTATATCCTAACGTGTTATTCATCATTAAAAAACTATTTAAATATTTTATGAATTTTGTAATTAGACTAGAATAATTATATTAACTGTTATTGCACAAGAAATAAGAAGTTTTATTTAAAACACTTCCAAGAAAATTTAAACAGACTGTAAACATGAATTTCTATCGCATTGTATCAAGTATCAACTATGAATCTGATAATTAAAACAAGTTGATATTTGTAATCTGAAGAAAGTTATTACTAAGCAAATCTAGCACATATTCATCTTAGCACTGTTAGTGTTATTTCTAACTCATTATATATTCATTGCGCATTATATATTTTATATAGAAAAAATATAAAACATTCTAGTTAAATCTAAGTTTTAAGAAGCCAAGGACATGATTAGTCTAATCAATAAAAACAAGAAAGAGAGAAGAAAAGAAGCCCTATATCTTTACCCTCTCCACCTAAGTATAACTTTCACTGTTCTTTGAATCAGTAAAACCTTAAAAATCATAAAACAACAGCGAAGGCACAAACGCAGCAGCAACAGTGAAGCAGCAATTGTCAGTGCCTAAACGAATAATTGCACATCCCACTTGACAAATCCTATTAGGTAAATAAAGCGAGAGACTGTAGCACCCAGGGTCGCGAGCGAACGAGATACAACGTAAACAAACGATAAAAAAAATGAAGGAAAAAAAAGGAAGGAAAAACACACTCACTGGTCCTGTCGGAGAAGAGAGTACTTTTGAAAGCAATTGCTAGGGCGATAACACCAAGAACAAGGTACACAGGCGAACGAGTGGTCGTGGAGGCCACAAGACCAAGCCCAAGAAGAAAAAGATCTCTGGATGAGAATCTGCGCCGGCGGCTCAGGTCCCTCAGTACAAACTGAAGGGCCGCGCCATCGCCGGCCTCAAACAACGTAATCCCATTGCCGTTGGCCCCGCGGTATTGACGCGCACCCACCTCCGGGGCCGATGATGACATTAGAGATTGGCCTCCACGGGGGGCCTTTCTTACGATCTTGCTTTTATTGCTGATTTTGTCTTGTAGTTGTATAAACACGCTTTTTACACGCAGTTCGTTGCACTATACAGTACACACTCACATTTCACATTGCGCGTCTCGCGTGCTTTTCTTTCTCTCGTTCTTTCGCTCTCTCTCTCTCTCTCTCTCTCTTTCTCTCTCTCTCTCGCTCTCTTACTCACTCTTTCTCGCTCTCTTACTCACTCTTTCTCGCTCTCTCTTCAGTTACTTTGCTATTCGCGATGATCACGCTCTGTCACACACTGCTTAGCTTTTACGTAAAGTTTCTCTATTATCATACGTCGAATCATTATCTTACGTCACGAACCATTGAAATTATAATAGATTATATCTAATTTTAATATGACTAAAAATTTTATTTTTTGTTTATACGCACTGAATTACGATAACGATATTATCGTGAGATAGAAATCATTCAAATAAGTTGTCAGATCAGGTGTAGTGGATGTTTTTGTTCCTAGCCTCAGGTGCTTTAACCATAAATAAAGATGTACTACATATATATGTATTTGGTTTATTTGAAGATCTTATTAGAGGTCCTAATCCTACTTTCCTGCGTTAGACTTTACTTTATCACTTGTCATATAGGTTATTATTAATTACCATGAAATGTTATTATATTGATTTTAACGTTGAAAAAGTCCGAATTATAAATTCAGAGAGATATAAGTTTTCAAAATTATAGCTCTATGAAAGATGCAACTTATTATTTAAAAAGTAGAAAACGTATTACAAAAATTGAACATTTATCGGAACTGTTATACTATAAGCCGCTCCGTGTATTTCGAAATGTTCCAATATTATTAGGAAAGGAATAATAGGAAGCAGCGAGTTATTGAATTAAAAAGAAATACCGGAAAATTGGTGTTCATCTTTATATGTAGAAAATAGCCTATTGCAAGGTAAGAGTAGTAAAGTAAAATTTGTTTCTATATTCGTATAACAGCGTATCAAAAAGTTTATTTCCCGATTGTATGTAATAGAGATTTTCAATTTCTTTTTATTGTACTTGATTTAAATAAATATCTTTATTTAAATCAAGTACAATAAAGGCTCGGCTTGAAAATGTAAACACTAAGGCCCTCGCCACATATGCGCATACGCGTGCGTACAACGGAGTACAAACGCGTACAAATCGCTAAAAAATTTGGTAGTGCCAACAACAGAAGATTACTACTATTTCTCGCATGCCCCAAATTTAAATGTTGTTGGCACTATCAAAATTTTTAGCGACTTATACGCGTTTGTACGCCGTTGTACGCACGCGTATTGGCATATGTGGCGAGGGCCTAAGGGGAACGTAGAAGCGTGAAACTAATCAAACGACGGTCACGGGTACAAAGAAAATCTAGAAACGCCACGACTATCCTTTTATAAGTTTGCCTTTGCGAGAGAATGATCGGATTTTCAGCACTGGGCGTCATGGCGACGCATGACGCAGGCGCAGTCAGTCATATCGCCTGTACTGATAGAAAAAAACAATAATTTAGTGTTTATTGCAAAACTACCACCATTTTGCATCGAGTAAAGAGTTTTTCTGCACTATCAAAATCGGCGCGATCGATTAATGAACTCAAATTGATAAAAGATCGGTTGATTTTAAGAAAAAAATTGTAAAAAATTCGTCCATTATGAGTTTTTTAACAATCACTCGTCAATTAAGAATCGCGGTATTTTTTTAGTGACAGCTGCGTAACGAGCACATCGCGCGGCATTTTTTGATATATCACTCTTTAAGGTTCCTGATATAAGCTTAGTAGGATCCGAAGTGAGGTGCCACCTAATTAAGTTGATCAGGGAAAATCGTCAGACCTAGCGCCGATCAGACTGCCTGATTGACATTTCTCATCGGGAAGTCCGCGGTTACATTTATTGAGTATCACTTCGCTAGAATAGAAAAATTACGTTTAAACTCTCAAGAATCTTCCTTAAATGGATAAACAAATGTCGGCTGGACAGGCAACGTCATCTCAAACCGAGACTGTTGTGGATGGAGGAACACAGGTACCTTATCTTTGTTTACGCACCGTAGAGAAATGTTAATTCATTTATGGAACTGTCCCACTTCGCTTACGTCGTAAGATAAGACTGCTTTCTTTTTATAAAATTTATCTTTTGGATTCTCGATTTATTTAACGGATTTCTGACATTATTCTGAGTTCGACGCTGTTCTGATTAATTTATAAATAGTTTACGCAGTTTTTCTATAAAAAACTCGTGATAATGATGCGTTTTATGACATTGTATTTTTGCTCAGTGTCGAAACTAAAAAGTGCAAACAGTTTTTTATTGAAAAGTTTGTACTCTACTAGTTCTGATGATAAATCTCCTTTAAATGGGATTCGAGTGCTGGATCTCACTAGAATTATTGCTGGGCCATATTGCACTATGATTCTTGGAGATTTGGGAGCTGAAATTTTTAAAATTGAAAAACCTGGTGTTGGGGATGAGGCTCGTAAATGGGGTCCTCCTTTTTTCGAGAATACCAAAGAGTCAACTTATTTTGCTGCAGTGAATCGTAATAAAAAAAGTGTGTGTGTAGACTTAAAGAAAGGAAGAGATATAATTTATGAGTTAGTCAAAAAATGTGATGTTTTGGTTGAAAATTATGTGCCTGGCAAACTATCAGAAATGGGATTGAGTTATGATCAAATAAAAGACGTGGCACCTCATTTAATATATTGTTCACTTACTGGTTATGGGTATGAAGGACCATATTCCAAAAGGCCTGGTTATGATGTTATAGCAGCTTCCTTAGGTGGTCTAATGCATATTACAGGCAAGTATATTATATGTATAATTTGTTCAAACAGATAAAATTTTGGCAAACTGATTATTTTAAATGGTAGTTATAAATAACATTTACTTATTAGGACCAAAGGATGGACCTCCATGTAAAGTTGGTGTAGCAGTAACTGACTTAGCAACAGGATTGTATGCTCATGGTGCAATCATGGCAGCTCTTTTACAAAGAATCAGGACTAACAAGGGCCAATGGATTCAATGTAATCTTCTATCAACTCAAGTAGCAAGCCTTATTAATATTGGTTCAAATTATCTTAATGCTGGCAAAGAAGGATCCAGATGGGGTTCTGAACATGAAAGTATAGTGCCTTATGAAGCTTTTTCAACCAAAGATGGTTATATGACAATAGGAGTTGGAAGTGACAAACAATTTCAAGACTTAATGAAGAAACTCAATTTGTTAAGTTTAGCATTTGAAGAAAAATTTAAAACTAATACCAGTAGGGTAAGAAATAGAGATGAATTACTAAAATTACTGCGAGGAAAATTTCTGGAGAAGACAAATGATGAATGGAATAGAATTTTAGAAGGTTCTTCTTTCCCTTATGGGCAAATAAATAATATGAAACAAGTAGAAAACCTTTGGTTACATTTTTTTAAATTATATGCACTGATCTTATAATAATAATAATATAAATTACAGGTATTTGAAGATTCCCATATTCAACATATAAAATTAATTAAAGAAATAGATCATCCTGTTACCAAAAAAATGAAGGTTGTAGGACCACCTGTTCAATATTCATTTGCAAAAAATGCCGTACGATTGCCTCCACCAGTATTGGGTCAACATACAACAGAAGTCTTAAAAAATATTTTAAATTACTCTGATAAAACTTTAGAAAGTTTAAGAAGAAATAAAATTATTGAATAATTTTTTTATCAGGAAATTATTTATAAAATGTATTGTTATTTACATATTTTATAAAGGTTTTGGAATAAATTTATTTTTACTGCAAATATTTATTTCATTGCAATACTTGAACTTTTTTGTTGATGGGACCGTTTCATTATGTAATTAGACAATAAAATAGATGTGGATGCATTTGCTTTATTTTTCAGAATGCTCCTACTGTCAGATTACGTCTTCGAAAACCACGCTCAGATAAGAAAGTACAATGGACACAAGGAACTGTTGATAACGAACATTTAAATAAGAAGAAATCAAAATGTAATTTTTTCAATTAGAAAAATAAATTGTACATATTGACATCTTTTTTAATAATCTATTTATGTTATAGGCTGCTGCATATATGAGAAGCCCAAAAACTTTGGAGAAAGCAGTTCCGAAGACAGTGAAGACGAATGTGAACACTGTCATGGAAGTAAAAAGGGCCACAAAAAGTCTGAACCCACCAATAAAGATGAACCACCTGGTGAGAGCATTCCATCTGGTCCAGGTAATTTAAATAGCTCAATTATGAATTTTTTTATATCTACTTATATGTATGTGGTACTAATAATTTTTCTTATATTTCAGAACCAATAGCGACTGGTGGATCAGCTTGAAGATTTCGTGGATTTAATGATTTAATCCCTTATAATAATTGACGAAGCGCGAATCGTGTGTCAAATGTAAAGTCATAACTAAGCGATATATCTGACTGTGATTTTGTTATTTATATTTATCTACATAAATGTTTCAATTTTTTAATAGTTATATGAAGATGATGAAATCAAATTTATCAACTACTAATAAAGCAAATACGTTTTCGTCCATTCAACTTCAATTTAATATAAAGTTTTAAATATTGTTTAAAAAAAAACTATCTTTGTAATCATAACAATAATAATAATAATAATAGTAATAATAATAATACGTAGAAACAATGTAAGTAAATCGTTACATGCTAATAAAACTTAAACTAAAAAAGTTCAATGGTTCATCAAAAACATAACGTAGAAAATAATTTAAACCTACTATTTTTCCAGTTTTTAATATTTCAATCAATATTTGCTTCTATCAGTTTAAATCTATCTGTTGTACAAAAGTTAATATAAGTCTTTACGAACAAATGAAAAGCATTAATAAATTGTACAAGTTTGCAAAAATATGAAGTATATTATTAGGAAAACATAAAAGTTACACATCTTACAATATTCTCCCCAAAACTAAATATTTATAATATCCGCAACTCATATAAATAACATTCCAACAATAGATTTTAATTTACTACACTTTTAAAAATGAACAAGCATTTTGAAAGTATAAGCATCAAATAGAGAGAAAAATGTCATATTTCGAAAGTATATTTTATAATTCAAGTCATCAAGCTATCTACTTTACTTTCAGAATACTCATAGTTCTTTCAACGATTTCATAAATATTGACATTGGTTATACATCTATCTGATTCATTACAAGAATAGTTGTCTTCAAAACGGTCGTCCATTAAAATAGTCTCTAATGGTAGATTGAACAGTATTCTTTTTATGCGCTTTCATGTTTTAAAATAGAATATAGATGTCATGGCATTTAACTAATTATTATTCTAATTAATGTTTCTGTGTATTAGTATGTAAAGGTGTTTACATGTCACAATAATTATATACAAAATTTGATCAACAAACCGAATTTGATTATAAGTACATTTCATTCAATATATATAGAAAATTTAGTCATTGACGACATAAACATAACAATCCCAAATTAAACATGAACTAACTGCCATCACTTATCTTATTTTGATTGACAGAATAATTTTTTTCATTTATAATTTATTATATTACTTGAAACCATTCAATTCCCAATTTAAAAATTTTAGCCATGACAAACAATTTTTAAATTGGAAATTGAATGGTCTTTAATCAGTCAATATTACATCTACTTTTTTGATATTTGTGCCGTTTCCTCACTTCCATGCCTCTTTGCATCTTGGTTTCATCTAATCCAAGATGTTTTACCATTGCGCGACTCCTCCAAACTTTAATTGTATAATCATCACTTGTAGTGACTAGCATCTCAGGATCACGAGGATTGAAAGCTACTGAATTGACTATATCTGAATGAGGAAATTTAGCTAAACATACACCATAATGCCTGTCCCAAAGATATCCATGTTTGTCTTCAGCGCCGCTATAAATCAAAAATAAATTTTCACAACTTTTAGCATTTTCAACATAGTATCTAAATAATTTATAAAAGTAATTATTTTTACCTCGCAACATATTCATTACATACATCTAAAAATAAATAGTAACACTCATGATTCGGCGTGTAAGCTTTGTGAGCTCTCAACATTGTACCAACTTGCTTTAGTGTTACTAAATCAATAACATGAATATCAATTTCCTGAGCTATTGGTGGCGGTTCTAATGGATTTGTAATTATATATCCTCTCGGCCATGGCCTAGTATTAATATATAAATATCTAAAGAAAACAGATAAATCTTATCATCAAACAACTCGAAGCTGGTGAATTTTTATTATAAATATAAAGAGCTATACCTATGATCGGGTGACAACCCCATTCCTATTATATGACCATGAAGGTCAATAAGGTGATCAATTTTATCAAATTTATCAGCTACCGAATCGTAATCACCCCAATTAGGTTCCGGTTCATAGACGCCATTGTTTTGTTTGAGACGTTCTCGATCTCGTTGAGCAAGTCGTTCTTGGAGTGAAGGTCCAGGATCGAGTCTTCTAGGAAACGTTACTGGCTTTATTCGCTTGAAACCCACTTGATGTGGAGTGTACGTTTTCGAGCCTTGCGTAAAAATAAGGAACTTCTCCGGGCAGTCAGCTAAGTCATCAGAATCATCAAATTCTTCGGCTGACAGTGTATCTGTAGAAATCAAACACAGAGTTGTAGCAATTATTAACTGTTTAAAGTGGTAAGATTCACAAGTAAATTTTACCATCTTCGTCGCTGTCATCTTCGTATTGTGGACTAGACTCATTATCACTATTATCGCTATTTTGAACTTCTCTCTGCGCTTCGACTTGTCTGTACTCTTCATTATATCGAATAGGATTTGCATACTCGAAGCCATCGCCTAGCTTTCTCCAATTCATAAAGCCACCCTCCAGCGTACTATATCTACATAAAGATTATCAGAATTAATCTTCAAGTTTAAATAAAATTAATCTGTAACTTATTTTGCTTACTGCAGTCTCGACGATGCATGGTGCAAAACCTCAGGTTTTTCTTCTTTTTCTCCGTCTGGGCTAGTAGGACTAGCAAAAGCCAACGAGATATCTCGATGACTCAGTGGATTTCCTTTTTCCTCCTTAACGTCTACGTTAGATGTCGACGGCTGCTTATTTTGTGCGTCATCTTCTGTTCGCGCTGGGGTCAAACAATTGGCTACCATAACTGCTCTAATTGACGATAGGTTCCCGTTGTAAAACCTGTAATACTTGGCTTTGAGTCAAACGCTTCAGTGTCAGGTGCGTGATGACTATTAATGAAGCAAATTCATTACGTACTTGTATAATTTATTCATAATGGGTATGTGCTCGCTTCCCGTCTCTTGATTAGCTTTGTTCAGCCACAGTACACTTGTGCTGACCAGGTGCGCAAGAAAATGAAGGCTACCACTCAATAGGTACCGTTCGCTGTACCAAGTACCAAAGATATCATACGGTTTATTCACCACTCTGCATTGCAATTCGAAGCTGGCTGTCGATGAATGAAATATATATTATTAAATGGTTTATATAAGTATTTTTAAATATGTAGTATCGATTAACGTTCACTTTTTAGATAATTGATCTCAAATAAGATTGATACAATTGTGTAGTGACACAATTATCTTCGAAAGTGTTTTGTTATAATTGAACATATAATAAGTGCACTTTAGCGCATTGACATTAAACATTTGGTATTGACATTGTTATTGTTCTGAATATATTTAGATGATCTGTTTTTCTTGGCAACTCTAAATTAGAGTGAGCTATTTATATCTTATATGACAATGAAATAACGTTATTAATAAAATTATAGCTTTCCGAAAATCACTCGCAATAATGTGATTCGTATTGTATAAATTTATATGATGTCTTACGGGCAAGTTTGAAAACTGCTATTTCGCCAGAAGTACTGGGTGGAATGCCAAAATGTACACCAGATACCAACAATAACGTATCTGAAGAATTAAATTGAGAAAATTGAGTGTATTTCCAGCTGAAAATCTTCATGTCGTGCTGGTATTTCACGGTCACTGGGTGTTGGCTATTCCAAACCTATAATTAAAAATAATAGCGGTAGAAAAAAAAACTTATACGGTGCTTGAAAATCATTTTTATTTTTCCTTATACTTACGATTACCCAGCCATCCTTTGAACAAGTTGCAAACATTTTGCCATTATGCGAGAAACTAACGTGTAAAACTTGATGAGCGTGTTCCTTTAGTGTTTCCGTTTCGACCAGTGGTATGTGATAAGCTAAACGCTTGAATTCGCTTATCCAAGAAGTTTTCCCTTCAAATAATAAAGCGAAAATTGTTGTTAATTGATGTTATAAAAATTACCAAGCTTTTATATGCAAATAAAGCTTTCTAAAAATTTGTAATTAAAAAATCAATTTATAACGTATACAATTAGCCAACAAAATCTCACGTAACAATTTGAAATCTCACCTGGCATAATACCAACACTCGGATCAATTTTGTAAGTCCGATAGAAAAGTGCCTTCCAGAGAAGTTCGTCTCGCGAGACACGATTCCACGACCTGCATACTTCGCCAGCAGTAAGTAATTCTCTCGGATTGAAAAATTGAAATATAATTAGAAGTACGAAATCCGGCATATAGAACCACTTGGTCACTTCATAATTCAATTCTTCCTCGCAGCTTTTCATCTCCGTCTCTTCGTCAGATTTCTCATTTTCACCCATCGATTCTATTTCCTTCTGAACGTCCTCATCGCAATTCATTTCTCCTAATTCCAAGTTCTCCCCTTCATACTTCATGTCCGGTTCGTCTAAGGCATCCTCGAATTTCTCCTCTGTCTCCTCTTCTTCGCTTTTTTTCGTTTCATTAACGTCCCACTCGCAAGTCTTTTTCTCATCCGCACAATCTTCCTCGTTCTTGATGAATTCGTCGAACAACTCCATGATTTCTTGGATGACAAGAACTACGCTCTGTTTACCAACGCAGCTGATGGCGCCCAGTCACCTGTGGCTCCTTTGTGTGCGCCAGCAGCAAAGAGCATCAATGCAGTGCTGCTGCTAGTTGACTGCTGCTGCAGTAGCAACGATCGATTGCCTCGAGGTTGCAACTGTTCTCCATCGCGATTACTTGGCGACTGCTGCTACGTTGCACTACGCGAATGTGGCCTGTGGAGAGGATCAAACGACTCTCTGAGTCATATATATATATATACCCTTCGCACTGTCTGCACGTCTGTTTTTTGTTGCCTTATATTGTTCTTACACGCGGCGACACCCGGTTATGCCTTTTTCACTTATCTCTCTCTCTCTCTCACTTCTTAGGCGGTCAATGCATCGATTCATGGCTCGCGGAAAAATTATATTGATCTTGATTGATTAACGTTTCGTGTAATATGGTCGTAAACGAGGGAGAGAGATCTATATGTTTCGTTTGTCCCGGAAGTACGATAGATATATATTACCACTTTGACACAACGTCATCATAGCGTGCACCCAATATTATATTTATAAATTTATTTATAAACACAGATGTTTTGCATTCGAAAATTTTCAAAATAATTAATATATATGTATATATATATATACATATACATACATATATATACACATACACATTTTTAACGAAAAAAGAAGAGTGCACACGAATCCGGCTAATTATCAATGTGGAAAATAATGATTGGTGAGAAATAATGTATAAACAAAGAACCAGCAGGAATTCGAGACAGAGAACGATTAAAACCCCCTTTGATAATTTTTACAGACACGGAGATTCCAAATCCAGAAGATCGGAGATATACTATATATATATTACTGTCGAAGGTCGCAAGTCGCAACAAAGAAATTTAAAAGGCCTAACTCCAAAAAAAGACATCATCGCCTATTTTGCGTAAAACTCGTTTCGAGGTTAACCTCTTTCTAACATCCTTTCTTCTCTGTGTTGCTGATCTTTTTTTCTTTCCTCGCGAGTGCATACTACGCACAACTATCAATTACTCGCATATCCTCTTTGATATTCTTAACATCACAGTTAGTTGTTCCAAATTTAACAAATCGATAAACGACTCACCTGCAACGATAGACGAGAGACACTCACTAAACTTGACACTTTTTCAAAACAACGTCGTCGCAATGCGCTTATAGAATCAGGGGGGAGGGAAAAGAACGAGACTATAAAACACGGGTTGTCGTGTGCAGCTCTCTCTTTCTTTCTTCGTCGGCACAGTGCGTTTGCATGTGCAGCAAGAGAAAAAATTTCGCATAGGTACGTGTGTATGTACGTACTTGCAAACACGTCAAACTATTTTCGCTATTATTATCGTCAAGCAGAACGTCCTAAAGCCCTATAGTTCTATTCTGCTCTGCGCATGTGTGCTGTATAAAACTTGCGCAATTTGCTTGGCGCCAGCGCGAGCAAGCGTAATATATGTTGTATACGCTTATTTTTCTCTTCTTTTTTTCTCGGTTCAAGACAGAAAAATCCCGTTGTCTCATGTACGTATACACCTATTGTTAATCAGAATGCACGCAAGCGTTGTAGATGATCGTAAAAGCTCGTTATTCCGCGCGCAGTACATACTTAAGGTAATGATGCTAGTTAGTTGCCTCTGTGTAGAATCGCCTGTACCTTTGTGCAAGCTTCCTTCCTTTTCTCATTTGCTTTTCGAAATATATCGAAATAAAGCTTACGAAACAGAAGCGTCAATGTTGTGGACATGCAGAAATAATATTATACCTTCATATTGGATTAATTATAATCAAAATCAAATTTTTTTATAAAATTTATATCAGAATTTTGAAAGCTGAAGTAGAAAACCAATCTAATCATAAAAAGCGGCTGTGAAAGATTGTTCGACAATACAAAAATTTTGACTACTCTTTTGCATTAAGTCATCTTTATTTTAAATTTTTTTCTGTCTACACATCATAAATAAATTAATATATATTTTTACATAACTGAAGATACGATCACATTAAAATGTACAATTATTCGATAACATTCCATAATTAATATTCATAATATCTTTCTTTGTATATAATCTTTCCTTCAATCTCGCGTTCAACACTCATTCTCGTATACGTCGCATGTGCGCTCTCTCTCTCTCTCATTTTTATATAATCATTTGCATACTTTCATCCAATATTAAAATCAACAATGATAAAATATATCCACTTAATTATAACTGTATGTTTTTTAAGTGTATAACGTAATAAAATATATGTACAAATATTTTACTTACTTAACGCGTAAGTACAATGGAGTGCTTTCGTTTGTTTTAAACAATCTTCCGTAATTTTTAGTATCTAAATATATGTACGTGAATTTTTTTTCTTTTATGCATCTATCACTGTGTGTATACACTTGAGAGACATGAATTCCTTGTTTTCCTAATTAAACTTACATTTTTATACAAGACCACAAATAACTAGAGGATCTTTTTCTTTTATTACATTTTTAACACTGATGCTTCCGCACTGTGTTTTGTTTCTTGGCTTGACTATATTCTACATATAGTATTTTCATTGGAAATTAAAAAAATTAATATTTTTCGTATATGCGACAAATTATTATGTCATGATTGTTCTTCCTAATTGTTCGAATAAGACTATATACTAAATGAGATTTCTACGACACACACATATACACATAAAATAGTATGGTTTACTATGCGATTTTTAATTGCTACAACACTGACATCGCATGTCAGATAATAAATGCGAAGAAATACATTTATTTATGCCTAATATATCAAGAGACACATAATTCTTGTCGCTTTTTTTAGTTTTAAATGTACTATTTAAAAAGCAGTTTTTACTAACCACACAAACAAACAATTCAACAACTATTATTCATATGTATCAATCAACAAATTAGAATTTTCCAACAACTCAGCAAATTTAATAACTAATTAAATACAATTATTGTATTATCTTTTTTTGTATATAAATGCATAATAAAAAAAGGAAAGCTTTGCGAGATCTATGTATCCGATTCTTTTAAATTCATCGCATAGCCAAAAAATAGAGAATAAAAAAAACATAAAATAAAAAATCAATAAATAAATAATTTGTGACCTAAATCTTAAAACATCATAAGCTTTATGTATATGCTATCTGATTATGGTTTGAGGTTTTGATCAATTAAATGGTAGACTGACAGCAGAAAAACAGTGAAATAAATGGTGATAAATATGACTTAATGAGAAAGAGATACGAAATACCCGTAAAAAAGTTAAAAGACTGTTCTATTAAAGATTTCCAGGAACCAATGAAGTATTTGTCTAACAGCAATATACTTTATCCATCATGGTACTTGGTTATCAGGTATCTATCGTAATGAACGCAATTTATTTTTGAGAAAAAAAACTCAAAATACTTAGGAAGCATTTAAAAGTCCTTGATGCTGCAATGAGTCTTGCAAGCTCTGGAATAATTGTAATTGTTGCTCAGGTTTTAATGAAAACACCTGTAGAAAAGAAACACATATTGGTAAATTCTGATTTGTACAGACTGTGCGTACTTGTATGTACTTATACTAACCTGCTGCAGAAGTTTTTGAGGAGAAGCAGTGTGAATGAAAGACGAAATATACACGTTGACAAATGTAGCCATCAAATATTGACAATCGAATCGATCCATTATACCACCGTGGCCAGGGATAACGTCACCAAAATCCTGAATTATAAAAATTTGAAGATCAGAAAATTTACAAATATAATGTATCAACAACTATTATTCCAAATTTACTTATTACCTTAATTTTGAACGCTCTCTTAAAGCCGCTAGCAAAGAAACCACCGAACGGACCGATTACTGAACTAAATACTGACAGCGACAAGGAATGTAACATGAATGGGTAGATAGTGACAGTCGACTTCCATTTGAACTACAAATAAATTTGATTTGTTTACTGGTATACTTTTATATTAAAACATATTTTACGCGAATAATCATAGTGGTCCCTTCTTACTATGTTTGTTACAGTTTGCATGAAACTTGGTAAGGTGTATTCTTGTGGCTTGAATAAATAAGAAGGTTCACAATCCATAGTCATTCTTCCCAAAGCTTCACTATACTCAATTGGACAGACAAAGTAACGGTATTGGCACATGACGTACGCTATCTGTAAAATTTTAAAAATAGCAGTCAATTAATAATTGATTTTTAATGTTTGAGATATTATATTATTGTTCGATCAGTTGATATATCGGCTCAAGAGTTCGAAAAAAGGAAAAATGAATGTACTTTATTTAATATAGTAGTGTTAGGCACTATTGCATTACTGTTACTTATTTCGTTATTTGTCGAATGTGTTACAAACTTTTAAGAAACATTTTAAGAAAACTTGTAAGGCAAAAAAGTTTGTAAGATATACATACTAATAATCCTAATACGACAGTCGAAATACCGCCTCCAATAAATCCTTCCCAGGTTTTCTTTGGTGACAATTTAATCAAAGGTGTTCTACCAAAGAAAAAACCAAACACATACGCCATCACATCATTAATAACTATCATACTCACTGGTACAATAAACCTAAAAGTAAATTGTACATTCATTATTCAATTGATTATAGAATTAATTCAAAATAATACGACGGTTATGGTTATAATTATTTTTCTTACCATATTAAACCTTCAAATACATTTTGAATAATTAAATAACTCTGTGTTACCACAATTAATAGAGCAACATGAGTCCAGGCAAATAATGAAAATTGTTTCATGTAGTATTTCTTTACTAATGAAAGAACAAACCAAACAAAGCCAATAATGTAAAGACAAAATGATAAAAATCTATGGTATGTGACGAGAAAACGTAAATATTCCTGAAAAAAAAATAGTAAGTATTACATTTCCTGGTATTACATTATTCAAGGTTACCCACAAGACAGTTACAAAGCTTATTTAATTTTATTGATGTAGAAGCCCCACCCGTTTTCTGAGTGAAACCTTAGTTTGAGTAATAGTCAATGTAGAGAGAATGGCTATTGATTTTATGTCACATTTCAAAGATCAACTTATATAGTATTGACTATTACACTGAATATTTATGGAAATAGAATTCACAATATAGCAAAAAAAGATAAGTGTTTAACCGTTCTATTGATGATAACTCCAAAGTAGTCCATCAAATTTTCTCCATAGAAGAAATAATTGGAAGTAATTAAAAAATACCACGATAATGAGCGAAACCATGGCAATCCATGAATCCTGTATACTGCATAACCAATGTTTATGATTTCTTCAAAACATTTTACCTGTACAACTAAAACCTATGGTGGAAATAAAAAATATTGCTAATAAATTAAATTGCATAATTTTTTATAGTAATATAAATAATGTACAAACTGTAGCCATCATTGCTAAAGGGCCTCCATAAACGATCAAACAAAATGCTCCTATCATCACAAAAGTAAATATACCCCGAATAACCCAATTTTTCCAGCTGTAAAAACATAATATATTGCAAAATATGGTCAAGAAAATGGGGAAATAATGTATATAAATATGTGTTTGTTTTAAATATTATTTGATCAAGTTTTACCGATCAGGTAAGCCAGTAAGAGCTGATTTCAGGATCTCTGGAGTATGATCTGTCCCTTGTGGTAGGCTTTTTGCCATCTCGTCAACATCAAGTTTGGCATCGTCTTCAGACTCAATATCTTCTTTCTATAAGAAAATAGTTTATGTGTTTAAATTTATATTCAATGTAGAAAAGACAAGTCTTATGAGTTTTAATTATTAATTAATAAAAACAAATATAAACTAATAAAAGCTCTTTGTGGTAAATTACTATGTGGAAATCCTATTACAATTGTTTTTTCATTTACAAATATGTCATATTTGCCTTTAGATAAAACTGTTTTATTAATCCACCTAAAAGTAAATGTATGCACAGAGATCTGGGATATATTTATTAAAAAATAAATGTTTGCTATTATGTGATAAAATGGAAGCTTTATTTATTAGTGATTGATAAATCATTGAAATATAATTACAATAAGTATTTCATAATTAATTTAAAAAAGTTTCTTAATAACATGATATTAAAATCTTAAAAATAAATAAATTAATTTTTCAGATTCTCAAGTAAATTAACGAAATAAACCGAAGTCAGTATGATGAAAAAATGGTGCGTACTTAAAATGTGAAAAACGAATCGTTTCAAATAGAAATATATAATGCGCGATACACGTCAAATAAATAAATAATTACATCAAATAAGTTGACTATTTATATATCTCGCGAGAGCATGAGCAAAGTGCGTGCAACAACCACGTCATTGCGGGATTGCACATTTATCATACGCAGACTCTCATATTGAAATGAGAAAAAGGAAGAAGACTCCATTACCCTCGCTCATTGTTTACGTGCGCATCAACATTTTCTGTCAATTAATATTGGATACATATAGCAAACGTGACTTTCTTTTTTTTTACTCGACTTCTTTCTCAGTCTGGAGACCGAGTAAGGTCTTTTGGTTTGTCTGCTCATCTCTCTTTTTCTCTCTCTCTTACTGGCAACGAGTTGATGAATTTACAACAGGTGACTCGGTACTTTTTTCGTTTGACAGAGTTTGCTAGAAAAATCGCGAGGAATGTGAAAAACTATAACACAAAGGGGATGGACGTGATAAGGGAAATGATAAAAGGTGTAAATATTTACTTGGTCGTCACTGACGTCCTTTGGGGCCGCCGCCTCTGGTACCGTCCTTTTGCGCACCTCAGACATGATATTGCTGCGTGATAAGTTGTAAAAGATCTCGAGGGGTATCACCGAATGTTGAGACAATAGTCGTTATGCTCACCTGAGAGATACTCAGACACGGATAGTGAGATAGAATGGTCGCGCACGCACGAGGGTATAGCTTTATCTACATGGTAGCAGCGGCCAAACTGCAATAAACGCGATGACGACAGCAGTGATGCTGCTGTTGTTGCGAGCAGAACACTGCTTATGCGTGACAGGTTAAAAGAGCGCAGACGTAGAAACCTTCCCCTCTACGCTCCTCTCTTACCGCCCCTTCAACGAGTTCAATCTATTCCGTTCTCTTATTAGTGGCCGCAGTAGTGGCGGGGACAATAATGTTACTATATATATATATATATATATGAGAAAAGAAAAATAAGCACGACCGAAGTCGGCAAAGATCGGCAAGATTCGGGAAACTACGGATAATCAATCGTATGTTTGTTTTTCCCATTTTCTCGCCCACGCGTACCCAATTCTCCGAGGAATAGATTATAATGATCCAATAATGGGTTGTGTATGATAGGAGAAAAAAAATAAATATAGCATAAATACCCCTTTTTCGGGAAAAAAATATTTTTGCTGTAGAATGACAAAAATATGCCATGATATAATTAATGAACACTTCATGTAAATATATATGTATGTAGCAACCGTTTTACACAACTTTCATTGCTTCAGGGCATGTATGCAGTGTCAAGAAACTCGATTGGCAATCTACGTGATAAAGAATGATTAATAAAAACTTATATATCAATGAATTCGGATGCTATATTTTTATAACATTTCAATATTCTTACAAATTCATAATGATTAATTTAATCGTATTATACAATTAATACAGTTCCTATCATAGAAAAATAAGTTTAATAATAAATGTTTTGTTATATTTTTAACTGAGTTTAAACTCACCGCTTTTGGAATAGAACTGACATCTATGGGTGATATTTCTCAATCATAAATCATAACAAAATAATAAACAGCTGTTTTTAATCGAATGGTAAATCATTTCAAATAAATGTTAATTTTTTCATTTGACAGCTGCTAGTTATTGTTTTTACTTATATAACCGATAAAAAAATACCTTTTAAAGTTATTGAAGTGCAAATTGAAATCGGGCTAGCATAGTAATTGTCATTCAAATTATATGACGAAATAGTACAAGGTGGTTCATGAAAATTGAATATACATGGGTTAAATCAATAAATAATATATTTTTTGCTTTCTGAGGATTAAATTGTTTTTCAAAATATGACTGTAAAAACCAGATTAGAAATAAATTTAAGAAGATTGCTAGGTCAATGTGAATTGCTTGCTAAAGATGATTTTGTTGATTGGAAACTTGAAATGGTAAATTTATACAGCAACAATATTTTGATTACTTTGTCTTTTCATGAAGTTATTTAATATTTTTTTAAATTTACAGTATCTAGAAGCTGTACAAGAGATGATTGAAAAACTTCAAACATCTCCAGGGTGACATTGCTTTTTTGATAACTCAACATGAAAAGTCTTGGATGTAATGAATAATTATAATTTATTTTCTTTTTATTATTACAGGAAGCCATGTAGAGATATTATGGTTAAATATATAAAAAGGGTTGAGTTTTTAAAAGGTGTTATAAATACAAAGAAAATTTCAAATCCTGTTGAGCGAGTAGTTGCTGCTCAAATGCTACCTATAAATATCATATCAACAAATGAAGCAATTGATGGACCCAGTATAACCACTCAGATACATCAGAGGACTACTGCCAAATATGGTCAAGAAGTTAGAGAAGAATTATTTAAATCCAATTCGGGTAAACTGAAGTAGTTTTAATATTTATATAACTGTATATTAATGCACTATTAATTGAACCAATTCTTTTGATTTGCCAAAAATTAATTTAGTTGATGGAGCGAGAAAGAGACATTTTGGTACAATTGAAGATAGTCAGGATATAGATGCTGTTCTAAAGCATCATCGGGAAGTACAAGAGAAAGTTGCTGAAAACATGATTAGTCTTACTAAGAGTATGAAAGAACATGCTTTGACTGCTAATAGAATAATTAAAAGAGATGTTATACTCTTAGAAAAATCTGATCGTTTGACTGATCAGAATACATCCAGATTAAAAAACGAATCAGTGAAACTATCAGAACATACTAAATCTAATTGGAGGTGTTGGACATGGTTGATGTTAGCATTTGTTATTGTAGTATTCTTAAGTAAGTTTTGCTTTAAGATAAAGCATAATTGTCTTATATATATGATTCATATAATTGTGCTAATCACATATATAATTTATTTCAGATATGGTTATTTTCATGAGTATTGCAAAAAAAAAATATTAGTTTGATTAATTTAAATAAGTTAACTATTTTTAATTAATTATAGTTATTTTATATTTAAAACTTAATATTTTTTATTTCAATTGTACATTGAATCATTTGACAATAGTGTAGTATATCACATGCTGGCAAAGCACATACTATAGTAAATAAAGAAACAGTACTGTTATGATTATTATCATGAGTATTGTGTGTACAATCAGTTACAATGGCTGCTACTGTAAATATACCAGGGCGTCCTGCTCCTCCAAAACCGATTTCAAAACCTGGTAAATTTTTTAATGTTTTCTACAGTAATTACATTTACATAAAATATAATTTACTTTGAATGAATGTAATATACTCTATGCAAATAAACTTGATTAAAAAATTACTATGTGCTCTTATGATTTAAACGACTATTCTTACAACTAGTTTCTAATTCAAACAAAAGGTTCACTTTCAGCAATAGTTTTTGTAAAGCAGATATGTACATTTTTTAAAAAAGACAAAAGTAAATTTGAAGGAATATCTTGTCTAGCTGTTTATTATATATATTATTTATTTTAAGGTAAAGTGAAAGTTGTAAGAGCACTGATGAAGTATACTGCACAACATGTGAGTCACTATTTCACACTTTTTTAATCAGTGAAGATAAAAAATCTTTGAGATCAATATTTTTATAGAATGATGAATTGTCATTTGAAGAAGGTGACTTGCTCTATGTCTATGATAGTGGGCTATTGACTAGCAGTAATCAATTACAAGCTAGGTGTGGCAACAAAAAAGGATGGATACCAGCAAATTATGGTATGCGAGTAATAGGAACCGTACTTGTCTAATTAATTTTTATCAAATAGTTTATATTAATTTTGTCATGTTGATACAGTTGAAGAAAAAGTAGAAGAACTTGTTTTACCTTTGCATGAGGCTGCAAGACGAGGGAATATATCATTTTTACAAGAATGTTTAAGTGGTGGTGTGTCTGGTACTGGATTAGATTCAGCAGGTAATACACCATTATATTGGGCTGCTCGGGCTGGTCATGAAGATTGTGTCAAATTACTACTAGATTTACAAAATCCTGCTATAAATGCTCAGGTACCATGCATTACTGTTAAATAATCCATGTTATTGATCAAAACTGTGATAAGATGAAATAAAATTTTATTTATATTTTTAATAGAATAAAATGGGTGATTCCCCTTTACATGTGGCAGCAAGTCATGGACATTTAAATGTAGTGAATCTTTTATTGGAAGCTGGCAGTGATGTAAGCTTGCAAAACAATGATGGATATACTGCAGAAGAACTAGCATGTGATTCTACGATAAAGAATGCTATTCAAATGAGCCAACAAGATCCAAGTATAAATACACACAATTATAATGAAGATGACTATGGTGATGAGAGTGATTGAAATCTGATTTCTTACTTTATTGAAGATAAATTTATATTTCTTAATAATTATATATACTGTAGAGTATTTATTTATAATTAAGGTGGTGTAAATAGATTTTATGATTTGCTACATTGCAGCTAAGATTCATTTATAGCTGTTTACTGCTAAACCATCTGTTGAAATCAAGTCTTAGCAATAGTTGTGCCAAATGTTCTCCACTTGGTTGAGCACGAACTCTATTTAATGTCTTTGTCAACCAACTCATTAATCCATCTAATACATCATTCAATGATTTTAACTCTTGTTTTTCCGTTTCGAGTAAATTATCTATTTCCCAAACTGACGCATTACGAATAAAGTCGTCGCATAGCCGTAATAATAATCGAATTAGCTTACTTACCTGCATTTGAAAAAGATATTAGTAAAATTTTTATTTTTTCAAAAAGAGTTTATCTAACTAAATACTTACAGGGTTTTTTTTCTTGGTACTATCTCCCAATGTTAAAAAAGTTCGTGACATAATATTTTTCAAAAACATTGTATGTGCTCTTTGTACTTCTTCAAAATTTCGGGTACTTTTCATACCGTTTTCCATTATTGCATATTGACTTTCTATAACATCAACTTGCAAATAATACTGTAAATTATCAATGATGAAAATGAGATTATTTCTTAGCTGCATTACATCACTATCTCTGAAAATCAAAATAGCATTTATATGTACTTATTTATACTAAATAATTATAAGACTGGGATGTATAAACAATTTAAGTAATAAATTATTTTTAAAATACTATATGCCATGCCTTAAATAAAAATAGAACTTACATATTTTTAGAATTCATGTGATCTCTCCATAAATTCCACAAGTTAATTTGGGTTTTCTTTACTCTTAGCAAAAACCTAAATAAATTATTGTAATGGCCCATAGTTGTTGGATTGAAAATTAAATGTAAAGGCCACATAACTTTGTATTTCAAGTTAATCAATCCCCATCCTTTTTTATCTAAAAAAATATATGTTCGATATAAGTTTCCAATTGTATTTTGAAATAGTACATTGCGATACAAGTGCTCGCTTCGTTCGGGCGTAAACGCCACATGAGACGAGAAACTCTTCCCGCACTTGTATCGTAATGTACTATTTCGATACTCCGTGCGCAAAGTGCGTCTTTCCCGCACGCTCAGCAGAAAACGTGCGTGGAAAATTGCACTTTCTATACGTCGTATCAAACAAATTTTTTAATTTAATAATTACCTATAGGATCTTCTCTTTCTTTTTCTGAAATTTCAGCACTACCACCAGTGGTTTGCTCGGTTATTTCCGCTAGATTGTCTCTCTCATCTTTAGTTGTTTCTAATATAGGTACAGTAAAAGTAAAACTCTCTAAGGCAATTTCTTCAGTAGAAGTTCTTCTCATGGCCATTTGAAAAGCTAAATTCACGTCACGCGATGTATGGTTTGTTGAAGTTTTCTCAAGAATATGCGTAGCTAGTTTGATAAATTCCAAAAACATATCTCCACGTCCCATCAAATAAAAGTCTTTGATAAGTTTAAACCGACTCATAAGTTGTGCTTCTTCAACAGCAACATGCCACAAATGTTGAGTTACACATTGTTTCAATTTATCAACCATCCTTTCAAATTCAACTAGTGCAAAAATTGGTCTTGCTTGTAATAAATGAAGCTTCTTGAAGTATTCATACTCTTTTTCTCCCCATATCAAATTCTCTGCATTTGTTGTCAAGGTTTTCAAGTCTTTTTTCTGACGAGGATCATTGCCAAACATTATTATAGTTTGACCTATTGTTAAAATTTTATTAGCTAATGATAGCTTTATGTAATAAGGTAAAACATTCACATTAATATCATAATCCCACATTTCACTTGATAATTTTTTAATATCTTTTTCTATATTTACATCCTTATCTTTATCATCACCAATAATTAGATCATTACTTTTTTCAGTCTTTTGAATAAAAAATTCTTTGTGTACATCTTCTAAATGACCATACAAAAGCCAGCTTGTTAAATGTTTATAGAAAACAACATGAACACAGTGAGTCATCCTATAAAAATAAATAAATATTTCACAGAAGTGTCCATTGCAATTCAGTGGAAATTTATGTTACGATCCATACTTTTGAAGAGCTTCTCTCACTTGGGAAACACCAGTGTTATTATAATGATGTAAACATTGCAAAATCCGACAGCCAAATAAATTTTCTGATTCAATCTATGAACAATAAAATTGATATGAATTGACTGAATCATTTCAAACTATAAAAAATAAAAATAAAATGAGTAATTGTACTTCTCGAATAATACTGTTGAGTATTGAAAATAGTGAAAGATACTTTTGAACGCGGCACAAGATCATTGATACTGGTGTATATCCATCATTCAAAACTGTTCTTTCCATAGCTATAACTTCTTCTCTAAATGGTTCCAAAGCATTATTCATACCATCACACAATGCTGCTAAGTATAATCCATTGTTTGGATATCTGGGATCTGTGTTAAATACAAGGTTATTGTGATACCTTAATAAAGGACTATATGAATTATTTATACAATAAGTTATCTTTATTAATTATTAATATTAATAATTATTAATCTTAGATTACTAAGATACTCACCAATAGTAGAACTTTTTTTCTTTATGAATTTTCTTATATTATTGTAGTCTTTAACAATCGCCAAAATCTTGGTAATTAAAACTTTTTCACCAGGATGAAGATAATTATCAAATCTCAAGGGCTGTAATTTGAAATAGTTTCAAATAGTATAATTTTATTACAACAAAACATAAATATCTATTTATGATTATTTTTACGTCTGTTTCAATGATTTCTGCAACGCTCGACGTACAACCCCATAACGACAGTAAAATTTCGTGTAACATTTTGCATATATGTACTAGGTCTACTATTTACATAATTTTATGTTTTTTATTTCACGTTACTGATCAACAATAACATTATTAGAATTTTAGCATTTTGAAAATATTTTTAGGTTATATTTTGAGCGGGTGATCATTTATAATTAGTTAGTTTACTGATACTCATACATGACGATAGTTTAGTTTACTAGATGGCGGTGGGTCTCTTTGAGACTCCGATATGCCAAAACGCATGCGTTGACCATCATACATTGTATGTATGATGTACATACATACATGCATACACATGGCGATGGCTCTCACGCATGCGCGTTTTGTGATAGCGCCTAAATTTAAATTGATGAAAGATTAGTAATAAGCTCTACCTGACCTGAAATGAAAACAAATTCATAGACCATTTGTTTTTATTATATTACTATAATTGATTGATTGAAGTTTTCATCCTAACATGCCTGTCCTTGATGATGCATTAATTAAGGGGAAGGGTATTTTGAGGACTTCAAGAAGTTTCTCCTGAGACACAAGGTAATGATAATGAGCTTTATCTTAAAAAATAATTATGATATTTAGAGATTTTATCGAAACTGAGGACAATATTGATGAAAATGAAAATAAAAATCTTTATATGGAGGCGTCGAATGATGAGTTTAGTAAATCTGGAGATGGATTGGACAATCAGGATAGGGTTAAAATTGGCAATGATTTTGATGAATCTAATTTAATTCCAAGTTGAAATTCTGTATTATCTAAAACAAGACAACAAAAATATTACAATATAAACTAATAGTTTAGTAAAAAATAGTATGAGATAATTGTTTTACGAAAATGTAGCCAGAATTTTAGGTATTAAATAAATCGAGGTCGAAAAAATCGATTCTGAAATGTTCAGGACTCTGTCCACAGGAAATAAATTAAGTGAAAATAACGTTGGACAATTACTTTTGTTTATAACTCGCAAACAGCCTAACTGACGGTAAGGTGACCTACACCAAAAAAAGGCGTTATAATTATAAGGGGATGTGATACCTCTGTTTTACCGATATTTTCATTGAGGTATATATATTTACTCCTACAATAAAATACGCATCAGAGAACGTTCATACTTCGGGCTCATAATTCGGGTTCATAATTGATTATTAGACAATAAAGCAAAGTACGGTCGACTCGTTGATGAAATCAACAAAAATTATTCATTTCCATAACAATACTTCGTGGTGACTGTTTATTTTTCTCAGATAAAATTATTGATCCAGATTTCTTTTAAAAAAATAATTTTGTCAATTTTATTAAAATGAGTCGACTACATTTCGCTTTATTATCTAATAACACGAGCCGACATTTCTTAGATTTAGAGACCAGATAAGGTATTTCCAAAGGGATTTTGGTGTGCTGAATATAAATTCGAGGTCAGAATATTGCTTCATCACCCTCAGTTTTCGAAATATTCTAATTTTCAATTGTTAAAAACACTTTTTTGATATTTACAAACCCCTATAACTGTGAAAAAAATTTGCTGTTGTTGCAAATTTGACAACACCTTAAAGAGCAATTCTTGCCCTTCAAAGCGCACTCCTCATTTATTACAATATCATTTTTTCCGTCAGAGATACAATCCATTGAAGTATGATAAATTTGCATTTTCGCGAATGTCGTTTAAGCAGAGGAAAGTTTCTCTGAAAGATAATCTTCGCTGAAAAATAAAATAATATCCCAAGTTCTTTAATCAAAGAATCCTGTACCCTGCTAGGCAATAACCTCAGTCGGCTACATCTCCTGTACCCTGCAACAACCCCTGACCGTTACGTCCCAAGTTCCTTAACTCACGAACCCTGTACCCTGCTAGGTTAACTACTATTATTTTTTTTCACAAAGTTACAAGGGTTGGAAAACAGCAAAAAAAGTGTTTTTGACATTTTTAGATTAGAATATCTTGAAAACTGAGAGTGATAGAGCATTTCTGAGCTCGGATTCAAATTCACCTCACCAAATCCCTTCGGAAATACCTTGTCTGGTCTCTGGGTCCAGATATTTTTCAAGTTTTGTCGGCCTGTGTAATCAATTATTAGCCGAAACATAAACATCTTCCGATGTGTATTTTAGGACAAAATATGTTCTTACATATAAGAAAAAGTTAGTAAAATAAAAATATGGCATCACCTTATATCTTACATAAGAAACGATATTTTGCTCAACATCGATAAACGCAAAGTTTCAAAACTAACTACTTCGGCATGTGCGTCGGGAGGAAAGAGAGAGGAAATCATAGCCGAAACTGGCATAAATAAGAAATTCTATCAAGCAATAAGATAAAGGCAAAACGATAAACATTAACAAGCAGAAGAAAAAGCTATTTGTAAGTTTTATATATAACAGCTATAGAGTGAAACTATACAGGATATGATAAGACTACTGTTTTTGCCAAATATTGATGTATTAGAGGGAATGTTCATTGAAGAAAAACAATTGAGATTCTTTTATTGAACTTTGACCAATTTTGTTAGCAAAAGCTACTTTTTAATATAGAAACATCGATTAATGATTTTCATATCAAATTATTCCAGTATCATGAATATTTCTGTATACTGTAAGTTTTATAGCTAATCATAAGTAATATTAAAAATGTATGACAAACTCTTTCTATCAACTGATAATTAAATCAATAGTCTTTTAAATATGTACCAACTTTTTCTGTAATTTATTCTATAAAATTAAGTCGCACATTATAAAGCATAAATGTTTACAAATTAGAGTTTTTTATGTTATCACTTCAAAACGTCCATGTACACAATTTATTTGAAAGGTATGTCGACGATGTATCAAAGTGCGGCCTATATCGTCCGCATGGGCTTACAAACACGAACTAAGCATTTTAATTACGCGTACCACGAATAGCTCAAACGAGAAGGGGAAAAGAAGAGCGCAAAGAATGTGGGCGAAAATCGATGAATATATTGCTCTCCGATATTGAATAGTTTGGGCACGTGAGACATTTAGGAATCTTGCAAGTTCCGATGTACTTATTTTTTTCCTTTTTCATCTATAACTAAAAAATGAAATATAATTTTATACTCACTTTTCGTATATTTAAGCATTGTAAATGAAAAAAACTCAATGACGACCATTATAGTAATCTTTTATTTCTCAATCGTCGCTAAAATTCTAGAATACAAATACATAATTGTATATTCGTATTATATAATAATTATAATATACTTTCTTGTGAAAAAAAATTGCCACTGTCAAAACATCTGCATCGAGATGGGATCGCGTCGACAGTAAACCACGAGTGGCTAAACCGCGTCGCGAATCAAAGATTGGAGCTTGAAACAAATATTGTCTACATTGAAATCATTCAAAGTCTAGATGTTTCATTTAGTTGTAATGTTTAGAATGTTTATTTCAAGCGCTTTTAAAAAATGAACAGATAATCAAAGTATTTACACTGATTCGTCTGTCAAAACAACACTAGCTACATAAGTGAATTCACTAAAAAAATTATTCTAAAAACTATACTGCCTTATTCTTATTAGATTGAAGAAAGAAAATCATTGAAAAAAATTCTTTCACGTTACTTTATGTTAAAAAAAAATGCAAATTGAAAATTTTATTTTTTCCTGGGGCAGCATGTCTACTAGAAGCTCTTTATAAATACTCCGTGTTGTAAAAAAAGAAAATTCATCTGAATCGAATACGTTTCTTTATAATTTTACCCTGTGATGATATGCTTTATGTATCAATATATAATTTGAAATAGAAATAAGCTCGAAGTCAAGGCACACTCAGCTTCGTCAAATGATTAAAGGTCCAGTAGACATCCTGTCAGTCACTTGGATAGTCGTTCAGAGATCCGTGTCGTACCAAGCGGCGGATACGGAATTCTGATCTTGATTAGGGGTTGGCTGAGCTTGAGGAGGCGGCTGAAGATCACCAAGTTGCTCGAAGCTCAGGTCGTCTTCGTGTGATACGTCCATCGCATCAATTGCGCCATAGGTTGATCCGTTACCGCCAATCTCAAGACCCTGCATCGAATCTATTGGTATCTGGTCATAACCTGAAGATAGAAATAGATAAGTTAGCATTAAATTTGAAGAATACTTTAGGCAAACTCAAGTACTGCCTAGTAGTTTGAACTTTATTCAAGATTTCATTAGTATTAAACTATCAGACTAATATCAATAAATATGGTCTATAGGATTACTAATCTCACTTCAGAAAATAAAAGATAACGTCATTAAATATAATTATTAAATAATAATCTTATCTGCATACATTACTGTAGAAAATCAAAGAAACATATAATATAAAACTAAATAAAAACTTAAATCTCACAAATAAATATAATAATAAACACTATTTCATAAACAAAATAAGCTCTTTTTATTTATGAATAAATAAATAAATGATAATATGTAGTAAAACATGCGAGTAATGGAGCTTAAACTTCTATAAATGCACAATAACATCAATAAGCAAGCTAACCAACATATACAACACCAATGATTATCATGTTTTTCACCTAGAAATTTATACTGCACGACAGTGTCGCGTAGTCTCTTACTTATCGTTTAGTCCATCGGTTAGTCTGTTAAAATAAATAAAGTATTCTTTATAATCATATCCGTTTATAGATGGCGATCTATTAGTGAATCTAAAATTTGCTTGGATGACAGTAATAATTCTGAGAGAATTTATATTTAATTTGAACAATGTTTTGTTGTACATAAAATAGATAAGCAGAATAGTTAGACTATTGGACAAAGTTAGATGATTGAAATGAAAATTTACTTTCGAAATGTTTTTACAAATGAATGCATTATTAATAGCGTATTGAAACAAGGATTCATAGTTTCGAGAAGTATTATTTTAGCGAGGGCAGTAGAGATATAATGCTTTTTACCTTGAGGCTGGTACATACCACCCCCACCGTGGCTGCTGTGTATACTTGGTGGTCCTTGTCCATACATACCCTCGTATGCTTGTTCGGCTCCGAGCATATCCTAAGAATTTGTATGTTTATGTCAAGAAAAAGAAAATTTCAAATAAACGCTGCATAATATTCATATCGTCGACCAATTATTTTAATATCCAACGAAATTTCAGAAAAAAAATATTAAACAATCGTTACACGATTAATTTACGTACCGAATATAAAGGATTGTTTTTAACACTTATTAATGTTTGTCACCTTGATTCTTGACGAGTTGTTGGCATCAAAGTTATGTATCGTAATATTGTAATGTATTTGACATATAATTTACTATCTCATAGCAACTAACTGCTAGTCTGTTTTTTATTACTTTCCCGTGAACGACTACTGTTATTCACAACGATGTCACAAAAATTAGTTACGACTCACTCAACCATGAATCTAACAAGCAAATTGAATGATATATGATATATGTTGCAATGATATGCGTGATAGTACTAGTAATAACGAGTGGCTTGTCACAGTAAATACTCCTTCCTTTTTTATGAATCACACCACCAATGATTCATTTTTTCTCACCTTTTAATCAAATGTATTTATCAAAGTACCTGTAGATCAGGTCCCATAGTGAAATCAGCATTATTCCACATATTAGGATCTTCGCGCAGTAGCGAGTTGGTCAGTTCAACGGACAATCGTTTCTTATAATCTTGAGGCTTGTCCTCGCTCATGCGGAAGAGAACAGCAGCGGCATAGGTGGCAACGCCTTCATTACGTGAATGTAAAAGTTCGGTCAATGGTGCGGTGGCACCTTCTTGTTCGATCATCTCGGCACCTTCCTTGTCAACGGCTAACTCGCAAAGTACTCCTGCAGCAACTCGCTGTATGTTTTCGATTTCATTGAAGAGGAGCTGAAATCAAAATAGGTCGTTAATATTTGACGTTGAAAAAAGTTTATATAATGATGGATGCAAGAAAATGTTACCTGCACGAAGATCGGAATAATCATTTGGGTGCGGATTAGAGCTCTGTTGTGCGATTCTCTAGCGAGAATATGAAGTGCACCAACAGTGCCTTCAACGATTTCCTCCATGCGTACACCATCTGCGTAAGCTCCGGAAGCTGGGCCAGTTCCAGTATTGGCTACCGAAGATCGTTGCTGCAAGAATAAATAATGTTAAAGTCACTGGTTTACTTGTTCAATAAACATCCTATTTTTTAAGAATCTAAATTGAGCGTTATTTCATAAAAAATTAAAAGCTTGTTCTGTAATAATTTAAATTCAATTGGTATGAAATATTCAGATAAAACAAAATCAATCACAAACAATAAATATAACTCACTTTCTCGGTATCTTGGAATGCACGTATCAGCAGTCGCACAAGGTGATGAATAGCCCCGTGCTCTCTAAGTGGTACATGATTAGCCGGGCATAATGCTAAATTTCTGGTCAATCCAATAACTGCCTTGACAAGCGGCCACCTCGACGGTGGTTGCAATAGCTTGACGATAACTTGAATACCATAATTTGCTCTGACGGCGTTCTGTGCCATTTCAGCTTCGACGTGTCTAGATGTTAGATGACGCAGAGCACAAACAGCTGGTTCGGTGATCTCCTCACGGTCACCAGCATTAAGAATAGTACGTACAAGAGCGTCGACTCCCCCGACTTGGCAAACGGTAAGTTTGTTGCGTTGGTTATTGCAGGTTAAATTGGAAAGAATACCCGCAGCACAGGTGACGACGTTTACATCGCTCGAGGCCAACAGCTGAACAAGACTCTGTAGTAAGTGTTCCATGCCATCAACTTTTGTGCCAGCGTCGGATAAGTTGCGGAGAGTCCACAAACAATTTTGAACCAAACGTTGACTTGTGTGACCGAGATGCATGGCCAGTGCTTGCATACCGCCTGCTTCTACTATAGATGGCTTGTTACTAGCGCATACCGATAGTACTATAACAGTTAAAGATTGAGGGTTTAACTAACTTTTAATAGAACAGACAGTTTATTATTCGTAATTATTTAACGAAAAGGAATGAACGGCAAAGTTATACTTTGATCGAATTAATAATGAAACGGAAGTATCTTGGAAGCTTATCTTTTCAAATGCAAATATCTCCAATGAAATCGATTAAGCCATTTTAGATATGTATACAGACACACATAAAAAAATGAGGTCGAATACAGAACCTCCTCGCTTTTGGAGTCGGTGAAAAACATACGATGCAGTATCGTAAAAAAGTAAAAAGCTGCAAATCTTTTCTTTAATGACGGAGCATCAGATGTGATGAATTTATAGTGAAATTTGTGGAAAAATTACACAATAGTATGCCCTTTAACTTTCAAATTAAAGCTTCCCTTCAAAATCACAAGAAATCCAAGTATTTTCTAACAACATGATATTTAATGTGAATCAAATAATTTATTAAATAAATTAATGCATATTTTTATGTCATATATTTCCTCATATATTCAAATTTTTTAATAATTAAACCTAACAAAAATCAATCAGCACCAACCTTTTAAAACTCTCGAAGTAGTCCACAGTAATTTTTCGTAATCGTAAGTCCGCATAATACGCACCAGCTCAGCTGGTCCCTGAGATGCAAGAATAATAAGTTTGCTCTCTTGATTGCCGTAAGCAAGAATCTGTAGGCAGTCAGTGACAATAGCCAAGAACTTGACATTATTTCGCTGCAATAGGAACACCATACGTTGAAGTCCACCAGCGAGACGCACTGCCATTTTTGAACCATCTTGATGAAGAAGCAAGTTATGGAGAGTGGTGATGGCGTAAAACAACACTGACTCGATACTCGAACTGAGTAGCTTGACTAAAGCTGGGATTCCGCCGCTCTTAAAGATTGCCAAGAGACCTTGTCTGTGGACATTTGAATAAAATAATAATTATTTAGTTTGAAAGATAACTATTAGAAACTAATCTGCATAATACATATGAATGACATCTTAAGTAATTGCTAGTGTTATTCATATCCGAAGCGCTTTCTTTTTTGAATATTCATGAAGTTAACTCGCAAAAAATTATCATGTATTTTAATTAGAAAAAAGAATTTACATATTATGCAGAACGTAAACGGCTAGCCACTACATAAAATGCATCTCTTTTTCATATGCTTTAATATATGGTAATGTGCATGAAAGCGCCTCACTCGTTAGAAATATAACAGGAAAAACTTGAGAAAAGTAGTCTCTTATTCATAGCATATTTAACTGACCTGTGATGTGACAAATTATGCAAAGTACCAACAGCGGCCTTAGTCGACTCGAGATCTTCGCTATTAGAGATAGCTCTGACCAAAGTTTCAACCATCTGCAAGCTGTTCATAATTGCATGTCTGGAAGCTTCTTTCTTTGACAACTGATGAACAACCATAGCGGCCTGCGACACAACGACTTGATCTTCGTCATTGAGCAATTTAATCAACTCGGGAATAGCTCGCGTAGCAAGATCAGCGTCGTCCTGGAAGTTGATTAAATTGACAACCGCATGTTTTAACATTTGACTGGGCTCGCTCAAACGTTGCACTGCTGTTGGTTGTGCTGGGTCGAATTGGGTTGAAGGGATTTCGATGCCTTCTTCAAGTGTCTCCGGGAACATCGCTGCACGTACTCGCTGAGAGCGAGTATGGCTTAATTGCTGGTTCATGTCTAATAAGCAAATAGAAACATCATCAGAATTTTACGAATGTTTCTAAAATGAAAGCGCTAGTGTATGATAATGAATATTAAATACCATCAACTTGGTCAGGCGTGAAATTCTGAGCGTAACCCTGATCAAGATCGAACATTAATGGGTCACCCTCCATTTCATCGTCATCTTTGCCTGTAAGCGATGGTGCTTGAGTTGCTGCACCTGAGTGGATACCCGAATCAGCCATATATGAGTTTTGCTGCCACATGAGGGTATGCTCTTTGCTTGACATCGGCATCCCAAGATCGCCTGCTGGGCCTTGGGCCTGCTGGTAGTTGCCGTGCGACACTATGCAGATAAAGCAATTAAAACAGGTTAGCTTTATATGTATTAGCAGTAAAGTCGTTTAAACGATAATACGTTGCAGGGATGAATTACCAATCACTTATTATTCGCTATTCTTACATCATATTTGTTTTAGATTTCATTCAAATTAAATATGCAATCAATAACAAGTTTTGAAGCAATAAAATTTGATTTTCACCGAAACGATAATAAAACATGAGTAACGATCGTCTTCACAATTAATCGTGATAATTTGACAAATCAATTGACAATATTTTCACACTTACTCGGCCTGGATTGGTTCGATGACATCTGATAACTCATAGCTGTGGTGTTTCAGTTGATCCGCACCTACAACAAAAAGAACGTAAACCCATTCGACCAATACCTCTAGAAAAGTCAAACTAACACCATCCTAGATCTCTATGTCTATAAACAATTTTGTTGTACACATCAATTTTACATGCGTTGTGCGATGACGTTTCAGACGCAATCCCTGTGAAGAATAACTAATGTACCCGCGCGCAATACCACATCGCCGTTGAAAAAGAATTTTACTCTTCGCAAGAACCTTTTTAGAAAAGCATACACATAGAAACTCTCAGTCGTAAATCTCTCGCTCCACTACCTACTCGCTCTGAACGTTCATTCAAAATAAAAAAAAACAGCACGCATTCCTTTGAGTTTCTCTTTTTCTCTCGTTTACTCCCTTTCGGAAACATACACAACAATCGTACACCCGCTGTCAAAGAAAGAAAGAGAGAAAGAGCGAGAGGGGGGAGAGAGAGAAAATGCAGGTAGATTCTCTGGTGCGCAGCAGGGGAGGGATTAGAGGGTACTACACCAACTATGTGTACCTGCAGCGCATACATTTTTCAAAGAGGTTCTCACGAGGGCGAGCTCTTTTAATTAAGGATGATCAAAGCCGCGAATATACACCGTATACGCTAGGTTTATGCATGTGTATGCAGTAGCATCCACGTCATATACAGCAAGTAGCGAGAGCAACCGACGCGTTTCTCTCTATAGCGCACACACTTGTTTACACTGAGCAAGCGAGGCGTGGGCGGCACACAACAAAGGCTTTCTCAACACTGTCTATCACACACACACATCTGATCGATACCTTCTTCTCTCGTAATCTTTTTTTTTCACATCACTCACCGCTTTTATTATCTTTGCCACTTCTCCGCGATAGTCGCTTTACTATCTCTTTGATATACGATGATTCACTCGTACTGCAGCAACTGAATGAAACACTGAAGGCGCGACGTATGGAGTTCTCTCTCTCTCTCTTTTTTAACGCAGCTGCAATGGCAGCAAGCGACGCGCGCTTAAAGAGAGTGGGAAACGGACTGGCGCTCTGCTGGCGTTCGTTCGTTTCGTTCCCTTCCTCCACGTATTGCGCGAGATTATATCTATGTATGAGGAAGATGGCTAAGAACTTTATCAATTGCTGATAACATAGCTGGAGAGCACTGCAAATTTTATTTGTTTCTGGTATGCATATAAAGTTAGCGCGTATATGTGATGTTTTTTTTAAAATGAGTTTCAAAGCTAACAGCTTAGAAAAAAAATTTTAATATTTAACTGGTTATTTGCTTAGTTTTTAATTGACAAAACTTTGAAGTATGAACATTTTTCATAAAGTATAACTTGATTAAGTTATCGAATAATGAATTTTCAATTGCGTTTATTATTATTCAATGCTTTAATAAATCTTTAAAATAAACGCACCAACAAAATTCAAAATATCGCTAATAATGGCGTTACTGTCTACGAGGGTTGTCCGATAAGTACTTAGCCTCACCGCCCGATGGCGCCACTCTCGCAAAAGAAATATTCTATCACGTAGTACAACCTTCTCGATGGTTACTGTCAAGATTTTAGCCGGGTCGAAGTTGTAGTTTATTTTTGAGAGCGTGTGAAAGCAAGTGTGTCCGTTGATTTTTGAAAAATGGAAAAAGAGCAGTATCGGTCGGTGATTCGATTCTTGTTTTTGGAAGGGAAATCACGCAACGAAATTAAAAAGCGCTTGGATGCTGTGTACGGTGACTCTCTCCTTCGATGGCAACCGTCAAAAATTGGTTTAATGAGTTTCAACGTGGTCGCACGTCGATTTTTGATGAGCCACGTCCAGGTGCTCCGAAAACGGCTACCACGGAGGATAACGTGACAAAAATTCACGATCTCGTATTGGCAGATCGACGATTGAAAGTGCGCGAGATAGCTAGGATCATAGGCATCTCAAAAGACCACGTAGGTCATGTCCTGCATGAAATTTTGTGCATGAAAAAGCCGTCAGCGCGATGGGTGCCGCGTTTGCTCACTCTGAACAACAAGCGCAACCGTGAGACAACTTCAGAGCAATGTCTGATGCTGTTTAAGCGCAATCCGAAGGAGTTGGGCCAAGTGTATCGAACTAAAAGCAGACTATGTTGAAAAATAAAACGCCACTTTTCCAAAATTTTGTAGGCTAAGTACTTATCGGACCACCCTCGTATATGTACAGTGCGTTCACAGAGACTATATACATATGGTTTCTATGTATTCAGGTAATGCCATATCATGAAGAACAGAAGACTCGCGCCTTATAGTCGGCACGTCACGTCTGTCGTTTGTTTACATTATTTAAAGAGCTAAAACTGAAGTACATACGTAATTTAAATACCAAATTAAACCGGATGCGTAAACTATATATGTTATTATACTAAACTATTTAATGTAAAATTGCGTTGATTTGTTTAAATTTTAGTTTGAACAGTAATAATAGCAGTAGAAGAGAAAAAAGTGTTTTAAATGGAAACAGATGTAGTTACACAGCTAATACTGGCGGAAAAGCAACAAAAGTTGCTCGAAAAGAACGAAGAAACCGAAGCACTGGAAAATAGTTGTTCAATGATGAAAAAAATTGAAGATTTTGTTATTAAGTCGAAGATTATAATTGAGAATTCAGTTAACAATATCAAAGGAAATTTTCCTGTAAATGTCAAAGATGTTAACAATTTGTCCTCATCATTTGAAAATCAAACTTTGCAAGAACACAAACGAATGGATATTGATGGTAATAAGGCGTAGGAGAATTATAACAATTTCATTGATGAAAAATTGAAAGAGGTATTTTTAAATGTTCAAAATTTCATCATAAAAGTTGCAATGATCAACTTACTTAAACGCAAACTTCATTAATGATATTGAACAACTACTATTTTTTAGAATCCTTCAAACATAGTAGTAGAAAGTACAAATACAGTAAAGTGTATTCCAGCTATTGAACTTGAAAAACTAGAAAATGAAACTATTGATAACCAAGATTATGTTCAACTAGTTTATGAATGGAGCTCACTAAAGTTATTGTGTTCAGCAAAAAAGGAATTCAAGCCAACAGATAAATGTGAAAATTTCACAGAGTTGTTTCTGGTCACCAGATGGGAACATGTATTTTAGTACCTAGTGAGGACTTTAAATTCAGAATTTTTTGTGTCCCTCATGAACTATACTCAGGAATTCTACCAGAAGATTTTCAAAAGAATAACTTTGTCATCTGCTCGAATCAAAGAAGGAGGGTTGATCTACGATTGCTGTTGGTATCCGTACATGAGTTCCTGGCATTCAACATGTTGTTTTCTATCTGCAAGTCAAAGAAGCCCTATACACCTGTGGGATGCTTGTACAGGTGAACTTAAAGCAACTTATAGGGCATATAATCAGTTGGTCTCAATAACTTCAAGTTTCAAAAGAATTTTTAGATGTAATGAACTAATTATTTTGTCTTTTATAATGTTGATGAAGTAGAAGCTGCTGTTAGTGTTCAATTTACTGACTGTGGTACAAGAGTGTGGAGCGGATATAAAAATGTTTTACACATTTTTGACAGTTATGTACCTGGACGACAAATAGAAAATATTTACTTAAATAAAGATTTTCCAAATGTCACAGGATTAGTTTCTTGCATTCAGGAAAATCCTGAAATATCTGGCTTAATTGCCCGTGGAAATTACTCCAAATGTATAGGTAAACTTCAACTCTGTATTTTCTAATTAATTTTTATACTACAAAAAATAAAAGTAAGATGGTATAATAGAAGTTCAATATTTTTAGGATTATATAAAGATGGTCCCCTTTGTTCTTTCAAAACCACCAGTGGAGTAACTCAAATAGAATTCAGTCCATGTGGAACTAAACTTTACTCGGCTGTTTGTAAGGATAGTAAATTTTTGTGTTGGGATTTGAGAAAGCCTGGTACAGTTTAATATTCATTTCAAAATCGTCAGTCTGACACTAATCAAAGAATACACTTTTCTTTATCATATAATGATAAATAAATAGTTTCTGGTAAGTTATTATGTTATGGTTAGTGGTTTTAATATTATTGCCAAAAAAAAGAATAAATGTTAATTTAAATAGTTTTTAGGAGGTAGTGATGGTGTAGTTAAAATATGGCATATTTCAAATGATCTTCAAACTGAAAAATTTTAAAACAGCGTTATAGAATAATTGTTTCAAAAGATTGCGTTAATGGTATAAATTTGCACAAGAATCTTCCAATGCTGGCAGTATCAACAAGTACCAGAATTCACAGTGAAGAAAATAATTACCATGATAATAGTCTTCGCTTTTACTGGCTTAGCAGTAGATAATAAAATTAATTGTAAAAAAATATAATTAAACCACTTTGTACATTTTTTTCGTATTAACATATCATTAAGAAGAATTTTGGTGTAAAAATTTTAAGTTATAAGAAAATTGTAAAAGTAAATATAAAAATACGGAATCAGACATCAGCGATCTGTTATTCAAACATCATAAGTATAAATAGAATATACATAAAAAAAATTCTTTGTAGAATAAGTAGCATGTTTTTTTACTTTAGTTTTTGCTTGTTGGGCATTTATTGTTATTTATAACTGGGTAAAAAGACGAAAAATAAGTTTCTGTAAAAATTCGCCTGTAAAAGCTCGAGCAGTTCTAGTTAAAGCTTTTTAAATTTTTTAAGATTTTTCATAATTTCACCAAAACGTGTCAGTTTGAAATGAATTTTTTACAAGTTATAAATAACATAGTAGCTTACTGAGTCTTAAGAGAGGACTTTGTATGACTACATTTGAAGAGTATAATATTCTGTAATAGGCAATAACAAATTTTAAAACATATTGTACTAATCGTAGCAATGAAACAGTTTTATACGTAAAAATTAAACTTAATATTATTGCAGATATTGTAAATAATAACGAAACCTTTTGATAATTTACCAATTAATCAGTAACATATAATCACTTTATCAGATTTACATTTCAAAATTTATGTAACAATCGCTATACAATTTTAGATTTTAATTAGAGCTAATTTCATATTATTTATATCTATGACTTTATTTTACACTGACAACGTGAAAATTCACATAGAAGCATTGAAAGATCTTTCAATTAATCACGAGCCGTAATATCTCAAATTCTTTTTTGCGATAATTGTTTAACAGATCGAACGTGAATCAATAATTATTGCCGCGAAAAGATATCTACTAATCTAATCAAAGAATTGTTATTATCAACCTAATATTAAAGTAATTGAAATTAATATGTATCATTGACACTTTTACTTGCACTTATATTGTGAATTGGCGTAGTTGACTAAAATGTCACAAAAAAACTATATTATCTTAAAAATGTTAATCTTTTATGGTAAGAATAGAATTTAAGTTATTGACAGTTGTAAGAGTCTTTATCATTTTCAAAATGTTAAAATTACTGAGAAACGTATATAATATTATAATAATTAATAGCATATAACATTTCTATTTCCACTTTTGTTGGCTCATATATAAAACTGGAAACGTTTATAAAAAAAAATAGCAAATTTATAAAGATCCTTCGTATAAATGAAATGTAATGTAATAAAAAAAAAGTTCAAAACGGGGAACATTTGGTAGAGGATGATTTCAAAGTATAATTTAATAAAAAAAATTGATTTGTACTCTCGTTGTAGAAAGCATACTGTTCAACGTATGACAAATATGATTTTTAGACTCGTATGCGAACATCGCTTAACTAGAAACACTCGATTTTTGTTTGTTGAACAATCTACTATTTTCGTATTTATCATAATGCGTGTAATACACTCTTACGAATTTACACCAAATAATAAAGTATTTTCCGTCCGTTCTATAAGAAAATTATCTGGCTGAGAAATAAAAATTTGTATAAAATAGGAACAACTGTAAAACGGAAAGAGAGGACATTGTAGAAATTAAAAGTAAAAAAAGAAAAAAGTATATATTAAAGATTACACCATAAATAAAAATATTCATATCTTATGCATACATTTTCATAAAAACAGAAGATGCACTTTTCGTATTAAAATTTTTAGTAGCATGTTCATAGTCCTTGCATACAATTCTCACCTACTGTAAAAAGCTATTTACTTAGCATGATAAAAAATAGTAGACAAAATTTGATTTCAATAAGTATGTCACTTTTATAAGTTCTATATGATCGTTTAAATTTGTCGTCATACATCTATTTGTATGTCACTGTCATCAGCTTCACTTTCTGTACTACCCATTGCATCTTCACCAACCAAAAGTGCTGCAGGTAAGTTTTGTGATACATTGTCAATGTCTAACTTTGGAGTTGAATAGACATTGAGCACTTGTATTGTTGGTGATACTGAGAGGCACTGTCGTGTAGAGCCTAATGGATCTGTAGTCATAGTATCACTGTCAAGAGGACTGGATAGTTGAAGTTGCAAATTATGCAACTCTGGTATGTGAGGACGTATCTAGATCAAATTCATAGTTGAATTTTGTTGATAATGTTAAAAAATATATTTTACAGATTAATAAACATAAAAATATTAAATTTTTATTAAATATTAATTAGAGATATAATTTTTGAAAAAGTACCTTATAACCATCCCTGGTATGTGGATTTCTGCAACCCCTACACCTACATTCTAAACAAGGTTTACTTTCCACATAACAAGGACACCTTTGTCCGCAGCATGTCAGTTTGCCAGGTACTGCCGTAGCATTTCCACATCTGCAACCTTTTCTTTTGGTTCTCACTGGGTTGGACCTTGGTTTCTATGAATTTATGAATTATTATTATAAATAAGTATGATCTTGCTATAAAGATATTAAAATGAATAAGTAAATAAAATTTACAAAGATCAATACCTTGTTACTTTTTACAGACTTCTTAACTTGGCACTGCTGGTACAAATGAGAAGCAGGTATACATTTTACAAGACCTAGTTGCTGTGGTTCTGATAACTGTTGTATGGTATCAAGTGGTTGAGATTGCAAAATATTATCAAGTTGTTGACCACCAACCCCAGCACCAGTAGCAATATTATCAGACACAACTGCTGGATTTGTAGCTTTACGTTTAATGGTAATTTTGTTGCCTGACCCAGCATACATAACTGAATATATGGAAGAACCATTAGATACCATTTTAAGTGTTTCATTTTGCGTAATAGGTATGGATGCACAGAGTGTTGAAACAGTATTATCATTAACTAGAGTGTTATCTATGCTGGAATGAGAATCAACATCAATAGAATGTTGAGCAGCCAGTGGGTCGATAGGTTGCTGAGGTTGATGTAACGTTGTCAAATTTGAAGTTATGACAGTTGTAGTCTGAGTTGAGGTTGTACTGGTAGTGTAAACACAGGGTAGAATGCTGTAGGCCATCTTAGAAAGACCATGATTAGTATTAAATTCATCTTTAAAACCAGCGCCTTCTTTGATAAGCTCTGTAAGACAGTCGGCAGGGAATAAAGGTTTGCCAGTAGTGCTACCTGCATTTACAGCATTAGTAGTTGAGGTTGAGCCAGTGAGCAAAAGACATTGGTAGATGTGACTGCTAGTGAGGTAATGGCAAAGCTTTTTGTAGCATTGCAACAGGATTCTGAGCTGAACATTTTCGATGTACTTATCATAGTCCTTGCACCAGCCACACGAAGGTTTCAGTTTCTTACGACCACCGCGGCAAGTTCGACAAACGTGATGCTGGCAATTAGTTTCAGTAGGAGTATGCGGTTCAATTAGGAGATTCGAGCATACAGTACAGCTGAGACTCTGACGAAGATATGGAACCAACCTGTAGAGGTCTATCCATGAATTAGGATCGTCGCTATCAGCCTGCAAGATTAGCCGGCAGGTCGATACGTACAGACTCGTAGCGTTCATACTCATCTTTTTATCACACTATCTTTCTTTCGAGTTCCGTATAACGTTAACATAAACAACTTAATTACAACAAATTGAATGGTATCAATGGCACTAACTCACTAACACGTCTACTCTCACTGCTCTCTTTCGCATAACCCAATTTAACATTGTCCTCGACCGCGAGACTGCAAAAAGTCTAGGGTTGAGCCGGAGCGGAGACAATAAGCTCAATTTCATGACTCCAAAGCGGTATATGCAAACAAAACATCAGCCGTTAGCTCGACCATTAGCCATAATTAGAAATTATTAAGGCGAAGACAGATTAACTGAGATAAAAGCGCGTATACTCCGGTTCTATTTCAGACTCGAAAGTCTAAGAAACGCTTAAGCTTTTTATATACACTAACAATAACTAGACATTCGTTAAAAATATTTGTAACTTGTAAAACGTGCACCAATTTATCCATTAATCACTTGTAACGTGTTAATAATAAAATTATTTGCAAAATGCTTGACTTAGTCGAAATTAAATAATAGATATCTTGCGCTGAAAAAAGATTTCATGGACGTTCTCTTTGAAACTAGAGAAAGTTTTTACGATTAATGGCTATAGGTATATTGTACATAGTTTTTGCATTAAGAAAATGTTTTTATAGGTATAGTTTTCTTAAAATATGTGGTAGAAATAATAAAAATCTATTTTTTCATACAACCTTCAATGTCCTCACAGTTATATTGCGCGCGGCGTCGTTTCGTATTTTAATGATCCATTGGACATTGAATTCCTCCTTCTTATATACGAACAGCTGATATGAAAAATAAAACAAACATCCCTAATGTCGGATTTCGACTTATCGATGTTAGATGTTGAAAATTCAAAATATATATCATAGAGCTTTTACCAGAATATTATTTTTGTTATTTAAATTATAGATAGACAAGATTCTGAGGAAAATAATAAAGAAAAATAATCTTATAGTACAGATGGATGCTTATTTTATCATTTTGAAAAGTTAAAAATTGAAAAACATTGAACGTTTGCATAAAGTTTGCATAAAAGAAATTGTAATATTTTGAATTGACTATATGTTCTGCTATTAAAATTCTGAATTTAACTTACTTAATTTAATGGGTGATGCAGAATTCTTAATATTTTTAGTACAGATTAAATACATCTTTTCAAATGAAGTATGCTAACAATTGTTAGAGCATTAGACAAAGAAGCAAATAAACATTTTTATTTACTTAATCTCAAGAATTTGTTTAACTGATAATTATACAGACATATTGTACATGTAAAATGCTTAATTAGCAAGGGAGGATGCCACGAATTATAACAAACATAACTAAATTATCAAGTTTTAAAAATTAATAAATAGAAAAATAAGAATTTGTGTGGCACAGCCATTGATTTAATATCAAAAAGTATAAATTTTCTTAAAGTACAAACAATATTATAATATATTATATACAAGACCTACTACAAGCAGGTTTATAACGTTCAAATCTTCTATTGTCGTCATTCTTATTATTATAATTGACTCTATAGTTAGACAAACGACTTAGAATTTGGAACAAAAAATACTAAACCTTGAAAATAAACCTTTAATAAATAAAAATTTATCTCTTCACCGGTTGCTGCGCTGGCCTTCTCTGTGCAGCATTGTTATTCATTCTTCTGTTCCGCCTTTCAATTGCTTCGAGACGTTTTCTTTCTATTTCTTCAGCTGATCTAGATGTTGACTGCGATGTCTCACTGTTTGTCAATATATTGATGTTTGTTTGGCTGTAACCAATGGATAAATTGGAATTGGTTCTACGCCAACCTTTACTTTCAGATGATGTAGTTGAACCATAGCCTTCTGAATTTTGTTGCAATGTTTGTTGTTTTTGGTAACAAATAGAGTTTATATTAAGATTGGAGTAACTTCTATCCAAATTGTGGAGTTGATGATTTTGTTTTAAAAAATTAGAATCAGAAAAACTTTTTGCTTTGAATAATCTGGTTCCATTTGCAGAGTTGTCCTTTGTTATTTCTGCAGTTAAAACAGAAGAGATCTTCATATAGTCTTTATTCAGATAACCATAACTAGCGTTTTCGTTCACCACTTTGGTTTGTTTAAAGACTTTTTCGTTTTTTGAAGTTTCAGTATAATTTTTATTAGTTGAAATACTTTTTGATTCGACATGATTCAAACCTTTAGATTGAAAAAACTTCTTTTGATACTCAGAACATTTATTAATTGTTTCATCAACTTTTATTGTACGTGGCTTGTTATGTATTTTTGCTGTTTTAGTATTACTGTCTAGAATAATCTCATTATTTTGACACAATTTTTTGTCATCGATAGCAACGAAAAAATCGTCAAATGAGTCATCAGGAAATGACTCTGACTTACTACTTTTAGATGAATTCCTGCTGGAAATGTCACTTAAATTGATAATTTTTTCATTATTATGCGAAGGCTGTATATTTTCTTTAGCTGGATTTTTAAATACTTTTTCAAAACTCCCATTGTGAGATGTTTCAGAAGAATTTTTTTGTATAGTATACAGTGATAAAACATTGTGATTTTGTTTTGTACCAAACTCTTTTGCTTCAATTTCCTGACTACAAAGTACCATCATATCTTCAATAGAATCATCTAATAAAGCATTATGGTTTTTTGCTTGGCCAGTTTCAAACACAGTTTGCTTGGGTGATTCATTGGTATTAGCTGAAACCTGCAGCTTCATATCAGAGTCTTCCGATACCACTTCCATATCAATAACTAATTGACTTTCAGGATTACTATCAGTCTTCTTAATAAATTCATCACTGTCTTTCTTTTGTTTTGATGTACTTTCTATTTGTTTCAATGCATTTAAAAAATCCTCGATACTCTCTCTTTGTTGATCTTGAATAAGTTTCTTTTTTACAGGTTTGTATAAAAGTGGGGAATTAGAGTTGCGTTTCTTGGATAAAAGATGATTGGTACTCCTTTTGGGAGTATAAGTATTCATAGGAATTTGAAGTTTGCTATCTTCATCATCCTTCAAAAATTGTCTGTAATCCCAGCCTACCTCTGATGGTGGATGCTGTGTCAAAGGCTCTATAATTGGACTTTCATTATAGTTTAATTCTGGAGAGTCAATAGCAACCTTATTCCTGATTGGTGTGCTATGATCATTGAAACGCTTGGTATGTGGTGTTGCACATGATTTGCTTTTTACTTCATCTGTAGATGTGCCCATTTCTGCAAAGCAGAATGTCAAATGACCCAAAATAAATATATCAATTGACAGCAACCCAGCTTATTGAGTAGATATTTCATATTTTCAAATAATTAGTTTTCAAAGATTAAACAAAAGATATTTTTGCAACATATTTTTTTAATGAACAAAATCTTTGTTTCATGAAATTTCAAGCTATTCTACTAATTTACCTTCGTCTTCAAACAAAACTGGTGAGTTCTTGACATTCTTGTTTCCTTTCCATTTTTCGTTCATGTTTATGTCCTAAAAATTCTAGTTTTATTGCAGTCGTGCCTAGGTTACAGGAGCAATAAAAAAACAATAGCGCGGTCGCGCCCGCCAAGGGCTGTCAAGTCATCTCACTACAAAGTAGTACGCGGTTAATTTTAGGTTTCCATCAAAAGTGCTGACATCTGGATTAATTGCAAAAATTTAGAACTTTTGTAATTTTATTTCTAACAAAAATAAACGACAATAATGATGCTTTAATATCTTAGTTGTAAAATATGTTTATATACGAGTCACGAACGCCAGCTCAGTGCTCACGTACAATATAACAACATTCTAATTCAGCAAAATTCTTGAAAATACCGTTACACTCGATCGATAATTAAACGGTCGAACATAACATTTGCCTATGAAAACTATATCATGGATAATAAAGTTGCTAAAAATAGCAAAATATTTGATTTCAAGAATGCTAAAGCTGTTGAATAATGTTTGTTATTTGACTGAGAGGTATTTTGAAATATTTTCAATAAAGTTTCGCGCATGCGCTATAAGCAATATCCAATTGGTAAAACAGAAAATTATGGCCATGTGCGTTGCTTTTGGAGCACGCGGTACGACGCGATCACACCAAAGTGTTGTTTTTATTCATGTAAATTATATTTTAAAAACATTTATTTATATTTTAGTGCATTTCTGTAATAAATCAGTGAATATTTATCATTAAAAGTTTTCTATAATACTCTTTCAACAGTATTTGTTTGTTTATTACCTTTTCAAAATGATTGCACTAGATTCACCATCAAAATTGAAAAAATCGCCAAAGAAATCTGTGGGTAAGTTCATTTTCAAAATAATAGTTATTCCAATAATAAAAATACATATTATAAAAGCTTTTATTGTTTTTAACATCTAAAGAAATATTTTTTCATGTAAGAAATAAATCACATACATAACCTACTAATTATACTGTTTTTCAGTACAAGCACCTATTGTTAAAACAGAAGGAAGCGATTTTGATGATCAAGAAGATTCAGATGCATCTGAAGCTGGGACTGACAGTCCAAATGAAGAAATGGATATTCGCGAAAATTTGAGTAATGAAGACCAGTCAAGTTCTGGAGATGATGGAGATGAGTCTGATAGAAATGAAGAGGATGAAGAATCAAATGATGCAATTGACAAATCTAAGGCTAATCATGGTTGGGCAAATGCCATGAAAAAAGTTTTAAATACCAAAAAACCAAAACGAAAGAAGTCTATTGTCTTATCAAAGGCAAAAAAACTAAATGAGGTTTTATCAAAGACAAAAGAAGAAGTTGTACCGTTTGAAGTTGAAGGCAAAGATGGTACAATTAAGAAAGAAACTATTAAGAAAGAAGAAGAAGGGAGTACAACTAGTAAAGAGTCAAAGAAACACAAAAGAAAAGACTTGGGCATTAGAGTAAAACCATCTGTCTTAGACAGGGAACGAGAAAGACGCTTACAGAAAATAGCTACAAAGTAAGTTAAACTACATTTATTTCAAAATAAACAATTTCTATTCATAATTCTAATGTATTCATAATATTTTAGTGGTGTGGTTCAGTTATTTAACGCAGTTAGGCAACAGCAAAATGAAATTGAAAATAAATTGATTGAAGCTGGTCCATTAGAGAGAAAACAAGAAAAAGCTTTGAAAAGTATTGACAGGAAAGCTTTTTTGGATGTTTTGATGGGTGGTACCAACAAATTGGTAGAAGTTGGCAAAGGTGAATCGAAGGAGGAAAAGCAAGAAGACAAAGTTAATGATAGTAGTAGAAAAGTAAGTATCAGAAGCTTTGAAGACTTAAATGATTTATTGTCTCAATAATGTTGATTCTTTTAGATACAAATAATAAATTTACATTTTATTAATTGTTACAGGATAATAAAATATGGAGTGTTCTAAGAGATGATTTTGTTATGGGGGCAAAATTAAAAGACTGGAACAAACATGATACCGATGAAGATTCATCTGCACCAGAAGAAATGGATAGCGATTAAGTTATACAGAATAATATTTTTTTATATAAGTCGGTAAGTTGTACATTGGTATAATAGAAGATCAATTTCTACTAATTATTTTAGAGTATATCGATAAAAGCTGTAAATATAGATTTTTTTAATTAAAAAAATTATGTAAATAAAATTAAAAAAAATGTAACTGCTTTTAAAATTTTTTTCTTCATTTTACATCAACTGACTTTTCATGCTCAGTTATATCACTTACATCAATAGTGCACATAAAGATATATTTGTATTACATAAATAGTAGTATCATTTACATACTTATTCTACAACATGTTTGTGCCACAGATTTTTTTTTCGAGTTCTTTCAGAAGTTACGAGATATTATTTTCGTATTCATTAGAAATTTAACACAGACATATAAGTTTTGAACAGATTTTTTTTTGCAGTAAGTTATATTCACGCTTTGTTCGTTTGCGGTCAAATCGCTCAAGTAATTCCATGCTTAGAGCTAATATTGATATCGTTAAAAAAATAAGGCTAAAATAGACCATCCACTGAGCATTCCAAAAATTTTTGCAAATCTTTGGACGGATCTGACTAAAAGGTTTATTCTGTTGTTATTTATGATAAAATAAAAGTATATTACTAAAAAATAACTTCTAAATGCCATTCTCACTGTAATATTCGTAAACAAAACTTTAAAAAATGATTTACATAAAAACAAGTCACATTCGCAACTGGAGTGTATCGGATTCGATCATAATTAACAGTGAAAAAGCTATACACTGACTTGCTTACTCACATCACGCTTGCTTAGTTGGAATGACAGGTATACTCGAAGGATCAACACATTTATAGCACCATACATAACTCTATAATACAGTCTTAAGATTGCGCTTCTTTAAACGCGACTTTCGCGTATATCGGCCAGAACTTTAAAATGATTTGCTTCGTCGTCGTTGCCGGCATTGTCATCGCTTTGTGGCTCTTCGGCGGAGATGTATCTTGTTTCAGGATACCGATGTAATTGGACAGCATCATCATCGAGACTCGTTGTTATAGATCTTCGAGATCTTCCGTAAATTGGATTCACTCTAAACGAGTGCTGTTGTTCTGCCTCGTTGCTGCTGGCTGTGTCGTTAGCAGCTCTTGAGATTTCATCCCATGAGCCGCTCAGTCGGCTATCTATGAAGTTGTCTGATTGGAAAAATTAATTATTTTTATTTTGTTCCATAGAAAACTTATTCTTAACAATATTTCGTCAATTAATAGTAAAACTGAGTTTTTTTTGCAAAAATAAAAAACATCTTTTGCTTCTTCAGTGGTTTTGAACTTTTCTGACTACTTGGGTCGTTAAAAAAGTATTTAGGATGCATTCCTGGTTCAGGACTAGAAGCTTCATAGTTAGGATTACTTTTTTCAAAACTTGGGCAATTTTTTCTTAGAAACTAGGTGTCGGAGGAAAAAAACTGCGTGGGACATGTTTTTTTTTAATCCGCTGAAGAAGTTAAAGAAATTTTTTGCTTTATAAGACATTAAATTTTACCATTGATTGTTGAAAAATTGTTAATAGCAATTGAACCGATAATCTGTCGAAAAACGCAACTAAAACATGTGGATTTAGCGGTTAAAAATATACATATCCTAATTATCAAATCTGGCTTCTTGAATAATAAGCCTGCCGTAATATTTTTCAGATTTCCAAAATGAGACTATATAAATTCCAATTTCTCGCAAATAAAAAAAGCCTCGCGAAGATGCGCTTTATTACAGAGAGCTGCTTGAGAGCTTTCTTATATCAAAGATAAATATTTTACGCGAGACGAAGGGGAAAATCTGCATTTAAATTAGCATCCGTGTTATCCTTACGACTATGTTTCTCACCCGATCGACTAAGTTGAGTATCGTTGGTCCTCGAATTTGTTGGCGGATCATCTCCGCACGATGTCCTCCGCGTCCTGACAACCACAGTGCTGACGTTATTATGAGTCGTAAGCGCAGTGGCACTGCTGCGGCGCCGTTGATTCCTCGCAGCGGTGGACGAGGGTAGAGCAGCGAGCTCGTTGTCGACGAAGTAAACGTCAAGAGGATTACACTGTACTGATGGGTTACGTGGCAGGCTGGAATAATTGCGCTCGTTGCTGCTGGCAGCTGCACGGCGGTGATGATGAGAGAATGGGTTGCTAATTATGTGCGGGCAATTCTCCAAACTGCGGTTCTCTACTGCTTCCTCCTTACTGTCGCGGCTGTAGTCTTCTATTTCGAATGGCAGGTTCGCGAGCCTGGAAAATTTTTTGTTTCAAACAGATTGGCTTTTGTTTCAGATTTCGAACGCATACTCGAGCGTTGAGAGCCCACACTACCACGACGGCAACGCATTTAAATTTCACCGTTGCTCTCGTCGATTCTCATTTCATTTCAATTTTTTTCCTTTCTTTCGCTCGAGACTTTCCACTCCGGAGGAATTCCGATTGAAGCTCTCTTTTTTGCGTTCGTTTTGCGCCATTCGATTGTAGGCTGAACGGAATAAAATAGAAATTGCGAGTCGTTGAAAAAAATTTAATTAAAGTTTTCACTAGCACAGTGCGCGCAATTATTTTGGTGTTTGCGTCGGCAATCGAATTAAATTTGAGTGAAAGTTTAATCGACGGAGCTATTGAGCCGGGATCGATCTTGACTAAAGTTATGAAAGACAGTGAAACGTTTTGATCGACGACTCGCAAATGTCCTGCTTGAAGCTCGGAGCAAAAACGAAATAGGAAGTGGGCTATAAATACTCGATGTCCATCTGCTTGCTCGGCTACGTTTAATTCGAGTGGAAAGCGCCCACGGGGTTTGCAGCGTCCGTGCAATAGATTGGCGAAAGCAAACGATTCGCGCGAGTCGCGGAGCTCGCAACCGCGCAGCTCACCTGTGTAACAAAATATCGGAGTAGGAGGGTGGCATGTCGCCGGTTTCCTCCTTGCCGTAAATACTTTCGTAGGTAGGCGGTGGAAAGCATCCGATCGAGCCCATGCTGTCTTTGCTCGGCGTTTCCGCGTCCATCTCGATGATGCTCGCTTGGCTCGCTTGCAGCTGACGACAATTGACGCCGCTCGGGTTTCTCTGCGCTCGCATCACGCTCTCGCCCAGCTCCACGAAATCCAAGCCTGCAACGGCATCTTTCATCTTAAGAGGCAGCGTGGTGTACGTTTTATATTTTGCGCGCCAGTAGCGACTCCGCAGAGAATTTATGGAGACGCCGCGGGTTTCTTACGTGTCGCGCGCGTGAGTCAACTGGGTCAAACGCCTTTTCTACGGGATTGCGCAATTCTTTTGTATTACGCTCTCCGTGCTTGCAATTACTTTTTCAAAATGTATTATGCGTATATATTCGCTCACGCTCGCCTGCGTACGCCACAGGCGTAAACATTGTGTGATATTCGGTTTGAATTTTTCTCCCCTCCCACGCCGCGCGCCAATTTTTTTTAATGAGCGCGGCTGGTGCGCGAGCGCGACTATTAATCACCGAGAGAGCTTTTGCTATTCTTCGTGCAAGTTTTAATTGTACGAAAACGAGAAATCGATAAGGGTAATGCGATTTGAAAAAAAAAAAAAAATGAAATAAGGTCATAATAAATATGCTATCTATTGTATGTGTGGGCGTGTGTTCGCGACATTTATTTCTTATTGATTATTTACTAAAGCCAAGTTTGTAATATTCTTCGAGGTGCACCTCGGATAGAAGAGAAATCAATCTATTTTAGTTGCAAGTTTATTTTGCAACCGCGAAACCATAATAAACGGCACGACTGTCATCTGCGAAATCGTGATGTTTAGTTTACAAATAAACAAATATTTCTGCCACGAAATTGAAACACCGACCGGGCCAGAATCATCCGAACAAAAAACAAAAGAAAAAAAAAACAACTCACCGGTACTATCAGCCTGCAGCTGCGTAAAAATCGTGCCATCGACAACCAGCATCCTACCGTGGGGCAATAGAATAATCGTGGGCGTGCTGAGCATCGACGGATCAGCGGTATGATTGCGTCTGCCGGCAGCAGCCTGGGAAGTCGACCTGACATTGGAGGTGGAAACGAAACCTCCGGATTCCGAATCGGTGGCGGTGGTGGCGTCGTCGCTGAGCAAAGCGCGACAGCAGCAGCAACAGCAGTAACGTCGGCAAAGCGATCGGCAAAACGGCGCGCCCCAGCAGCAGTAGGCGAAGATGAAGCACAGCACCGCCAGCATTATCAGCAGTCCGGCCATGCCTTGGTTCTGCTGGGTGACCGCGGCCGCCGCCGCCGCGCTGCTGGCTATGCCGTTGCCGCCGCCGCTGCCGCTGCTGCTGCCCGGCAGGCCGACGAAGTCGTAGGCCGTCGCCGATCCTGCCGCGGACGCACTGCCGCCGCTGCTACTGCTGCTCATCGCGCTCGCCTCACCTGCAACAGACGCACCGATCTGGCTCGTCTCTCGCTCCTGTGTTGGACGCGCGCACTTTACGCATTTGGACTTGCGCAACTTGTCTGCGTCCCCTGTCAAGCGAACCCGCGCGCCATTTTTCCATCGCGTTATCCCGACGAACGGAACAAGAAAAACGAGAATCGCCCAGCGATTATTAATGCTCGGAGAAATCGAATTTCTCAACTGTGCTAATAATCAGCTTGGGCTGTTTGGACATTCTGGAAAATTATTAGCAACGCAAACACGAACCGCGCGGATATAAAACAAGTTGTGACGCGCGTGCACTTTGAAAGTTTAAATCGATTTTCTGGCGCGGCGATCGCGCGTTTATTTTGAGGATTCGAGATATATTTCTGGCGCCTGATAATATTCGCTCGTGACCGAGAGCAAAACGATAATATTTCAGTCGAGCAGCTGTTCAATTGAAAAACCATTCGCCTGTGTCCAAACATAGAGCCATCGTATGTGAGTATTCAGCATTTCGTGCCCTAATTTGAAATCAACGCATTGTGCAAAGAGAGAGAGAGAGAGAGAGAGACAGCATTATGTATTCATGATATACTGACTATATTGCGCCTGCTAATTGTCAACGCAATGCACGTATATCGCGTTCGTCGCATTGAATTACATAAAATCAGTCGTAATGTATATGGAATAAACAGCACGTGCAAGCGCATGTTGCGTCTACTTAGCCGGCATCGCACGCGTACGAATGTCATAACTCTCTTTCGTTCGCAAGCATGCTCGATTAACTTGAGCATCCTACCGCAAAAGGCCTTGGGATACGATATCGGAAAACTCGTGAATAATCGCGATGCTTGCTGTTGTATGGATTTTTGTTTTGTTCTCTACCGTAACTTTTGATTGCGTAGCTCAAGTATTTGTGCGAACGTAAAGAGCAACAACGCCAAACGTGGGAAGATTTAGAAGTTGTATTTTCTTTATTATCGAAACATGTGTGCCACAGGCATAATCCCTTCTGTGAAAGCTGCCAAATCCCTAGAAGATGACCTTAACGCGAGGCAGACAGCTTTTCGAAAAAATGACCGCAGCGCGTATCTCATCCCTTGCGAGATATAGAGGAAGGCAGAATGTAATCTCCGCATCGTCCGGTGCAGTGAATCATTTAATTCCCGAAAAAGAGATTACATTCTGGCGAAGGTTTTCGCGCTTGAAAAAGTAGTCCCTTACGGCCAATTGCAATTAGCACGGAAATCCCACATCTGCCCAAAACACACACAGACACACACACTCGGTCCTTTTTGGCTCGCGTTCAACTCTCTGTCTCTCTCTTTTACAGTCTGATCAAAAGTCTCACGGAGCGCAATCTCCGCGTAACGAGATTTCAATTGATCCTCTCGCTCGTCCGTTCGCACAGTTCAATCACGGCTATTGATAAAATTTAGTCTCGCGCGGCACCTCATACGCACGCTCGAATTTATTTTTTTTTGCGAGAAGCAAAACTTCGCGGAGCGAGAGAGAGAGAGAGAGAGAGAGAGAGAGAGAGTCTCTAATCTTTTAGTTGAGTGGTGCGATATGATAATCATTTCGAGTTAGCTCGAGCGCGCGGCTCGTAAGAACAGCTGGCGCGTGACATAACGTCGTTGGCGTAGTTCGCCAAATGAGCAATCGTCTTGCGACTCTCTCGACGAGCGGTAGGCCGTCGCCTCGCGCGCGCGAAAAAGTATATCGCGCGTAATAGCGCAATCAATCCGAGCGAAACCCTGACGTATTTGCATCGTCCGCGCGACACGAGCCAATCGCTCGGCTGACACAGTCGCGCGCACGCAAGCCGTAAATCAGTCGGAAAATTGTACGAGGCGCGCGGATTTCGGCGCGTTGCCGCAGTCCCCTCACGTACAGCGACCCAATTTTCAGGGCCGCGGCTCGTGCCACAACAAGGAACGGAGTTTTGAAAACGGCACGCGGATTCGTCCAGCGATTAATCCGAACGTCCGACAGCTGACAGTATGTAACGGTTTACCAACGAATACTATACTCGTGCAAGTCGGCATTGCCTTTAGGTCCCAGTTACGCGCGAGATGCTCGAGACGAAAACCGTAGTCTCGTCCTTCGCGCGCACCTCAGCCTTTCCCTCTTAATTCTGCCAACGGAATTGTACAGGCACAGCGACCGGTTTGCGCCCTCGACAGCACTCAATTCCAACATCGTTCATCAATCACATTTACGCGCGCGGCTTTCAATTAAGAGAAAGACACGCAAGGCGCCTCGTATCGATTCACACCTCGAACGATTTCGTATATCTTCTAAATGCCTGTGTCTTCGGAGATGCACTTTCGGTAATGAGTTTTGGGTCTGTCTCCGCCGTGGTTGCTGCACTCAAGTGAAAACGCTCACGTCGTCGCAAGCATCTCGAAAGGATCCGCTTCTTCCGCCAATCGGGGAGTTCACTCGCGAACGAGACGTAAAGGAAAAGAAACGAGCTCGGACGAGCTGATCTAGCTTACGTAGCAGATGTCGCCGCGGCAGCGGCGTTTCATTTTCATCGGCATTTCCCATCGTCAAAGTCGATCGACACCGGGGCCAGAGACCGGGTCGACGCGCGCACGGCGACCACTTGCGCAACGCCGGCGATTACGCAGAGCACATCCGTCGGCGCGGTGACCAAGTGGAGCGCGCGCGCTAATCATCGGCGTCGGAGGCAGCCGCTAATCCGCGTGGTGAAAGCGTGGCGCGCCGCGACTCTTCGCATCTCTCGCGCCTTGGCCCGCGTTGCGCAACGAGCGAATGATCCTAGGCAACCGACGGCAGCCCGCCCCCGCGAGACGCGCGTAGCGATATCGCGAGTTTCTCTTGTTTCGTCGGCGCACTCGTGGTCCAACACTGACCCGTGCGTACCTTGGCTGACGTTCAGATGAAGCCCCCCCGAGCGTGACCCGAGGATCGCGAATACGCTTGGGTAAATGATGACGGCTGCTGGGCATCTACCCCGTCATCGCCGATAACAAGCCGCTGCCGGGTTTGCTCCTTCGACTGATGCTCTTGTTGCTGGCGTTCACCTGCGAAAGACAGAAAAAAACACGGGCCTTTTAATAACAAAAGAGCGCGTCGTGCCGGGATTTCAAGAATTTTTCAATTTCGCGCGCGCGCGAGCACGCCAAGCGACGAGACGCTACGGCCGTTCATATATACGGCTGGAGCAATTAACTATATATTTATAGTGATCCGCCAACTCAAATATAATGACACGTTTCACTTGCAGGCTTTAAAGTTGCCTCGTCGTTTTTATATACAAACAACCGAGCCTTTTTTTTAAATAATACATCGCGTTTCTTTCGCTCCGGCGGGACAATGCGGAATAAATTGGCGCCGCGTGCACTTGGATGGCTAGCGAAGCGTGCATCTCGCGATAAAACACGAGTAACGCGAGCGCTCGTGTGCACCTGTATGATCGATGAGGAGCCTCGTTTGTGCGCGCGATAGCAAGAGCATCCTCATGGCATCGCTCGTATAAAAAGGAAATCAATCACTGCCGGCATTTGGCGAACGCGGGTATAGTAGTGCGCGCAGCGAGAGAACGAGCGACAAACTGTCGGGCCGAGGACTCGCTCTTCGAGACTTTGCCTCGTTTCGACTTCCCTCCGCCCCACCATCTCTCTCGCACTCCTAAGACAGGTACACAGCGCGACGCTTTGCTCGCACTTTTTTGTCGCTTGGCAAATTCAATTTCCCCTCGCGCTGCGCGGGGCTGGAGAGAGCAAACCTCTGTTTTGCAGGCGCTTCTCTCTCTCTCTCTCTCTCTCTCTTTCTCTTTGGCTACGTAATGAGAGCTGTGTTTCTTCTTCTCTTGTTTCGCCGTTGCGCCGACGGGAATTCGCACTTAATTGGCTTCAAGGCCGTGGTTATTGCCAGCAAGTGCGATCATTTTGAATCGCGGGCGCGCGCATTATTTCTTAAGTCGCAGAAAAACATTAGAGAACCAAGGGTCTCAAGCGGACCTTACTCGGATTAACTTTGACGTTAAAAGTAAGCAGTTTTTACGGCTAAGGGAGGCGCTCAAGCTCTTACGGCTGGATTATACCTTTTTCCGGCAATAACATTTAGCAACAGCAGCGCCAGTCCTGCGTGGTTATAAAAACCTCGTAAAAGGCTGGAGGGTGGCCAGACAGAAAAACTTTCAGAGCAATATCATAAATGCCATTTCAAGCTACAAATCATCCCTTTATCATTTCAAATTATCAAGCTAACGTCGAGTTCAATTAGCAGGTTATTCGTTTTTTTTTTGTTTATTTCTTCTTCATTTTGAATGCGACTAACGAATGTAATTCAAACTTGAATCCTCGTTGATGCTTGAAAACATAGGCCTGAAAAGCCATCGCGCGCGACTCTTTCGGCGCTCCCGTTCTCGTCGTCGATGCGACAAGGAGCGTGGGGGAAGCGGGCGTCAAGTGCAGGAAAGAAGAAAGAAAAAAGAAAAAATTCACTCGTTATCCGCGCCCGAATCGCGCGAGTCTGCAATTATGCGAATTGTGCGCGCGCGCGTTGCCTCCTCCTCCTCCTTTGTCCATAGAGGGTCTTATTTTATTCGCGAGAGAGCTGATAAGGCCAAAGCTTCTCTCCTCTCTCCGCCGCTGCAAAAGTAGAGCATCGACGTTTTAGGAGAGCACACCGTGTACGTGCACGTACGTGTGCGCGCGCGCGCGCTATACACTGCTATGGCATGGAGCGTGCGTGACCGTGCTTATTTCACCTCTTAGCCTCCTTCGTTTTTTCTCTCTCCCTCTCTCTCTCTCTCCCTTTTAGGAATGTCGAAATTGCATCGTTCGCCAATTAGCTTATATTTGTAGGCGAGCGCACTTGTTACGCTTATCGACGAGTTCATCGGGACGCGCTCGCACTGGCTTCAATCGTGCGTTCGCGTATGTGCACGACGCGTTTCTACGTGAATTTGAATGTTGTTCTGATTAAAACGCAGTATATGCGCGCGTGCTTTTCTTCTCGTTTCGCGTTACGACGTTTCGCCCCTGTGAACCGAGGCGACTAAACAAGGTCTCATCACTGATGAACTCCTCGCGCCAATTGGATTAGTTTTCACTGTACACCTATCCGTTTTACAAAACGAACCTGTCGCTATATATTCTGACGGGCACGAAGCTGTCCGTACCGTGCGCGCGGCCTTCCCTTCTCCCAAAAAGCCCAGAAGCCGCATTGTGCGCGAGCAGCTAGCCTGTGTGAAAATAGCTCGTCGAGCCCTCTGGTCCGCAAAACCTCTTTTCGAATATTACGCGTGTACTTTCACGCGCGGACAAGAGATAACGTAACGAGCTCGTTGGGAATTGCACGTGAAATATTTGAAAGAAAAGAAAAAAAAAAATTTATCCCCGTAGCGCGGTCGCCGTGGCGAGCGAGCGTCCGACAATGAATAATTCCGAACAGAAGACGAGCTTATAGGCACTATGGCCACGAACGAGCGTTCATTTGTCTATTGACGATCCACAAATAGCGGGGCGATTGGCGTGCGTGCAAAGCCGAGAGTTGGCAAGGTAGCCGTGGAAAAAGGAAAAACAGGGCCGATTAATCGTGGCTTGCGAAAAAGGGAGCCATCGATCGCTAAGAGATTAGATTCTCCGTGGCGCGCGCGCGAGACACTTTTTTAATTACTCGAGCTTGCGCTGGTGCGCAGGGCTAATAAATCAGCTCGGCGACTCGGCACTGAAGACGCCGAGTCGCGCGACGCGCCGAGGCGTCAGCGAAAGCTGTCGAGGGCAAACGAGCAAGGCAGTCCAGCGCGACTCGGAAGCTACGTGTGCGTGGCAGCGCATGCAGCGGCGGCGGCGAACAAAGAAACAAACGGAACGGGAGGCGCGTATAGAAGCGAGCTACCTTGACGACAAGGGCCGTCGACGTGTAGGCCATGACTCGGCGTGCAGCTGCGAGCGGGCGAATTAGACTGGGCCGAGCGCTAGGGGGGTCGAGGTCAGGCCGTGAAATCGTCGCTCTATTATTCAGCTGTGCAGCCTGGCGTGCGTTTGGCGACGGGGTTGCACCGCCGAGTCACCGTTGTCGTCGTCTGCCTCGGTCGCCGACTGGGCATGCAGGCGCGCGGGACGCATCCGAAACACTGGCGACCTGCTGGCAACGCGCCTGGCTCGACACGCGGGTTAGGTTGGTCGCCGCTCTCGCGCGCGCTCCGCGCGGTGGGGAGAGCTTGCGCGCCAGCGCGTCACGCCACAACCACCCGCAGCTTTCTTTCGCCACATAGACTTTCGCGCTTTTTTCCCGCACCTTCTGCCCCTTTGATCAGCTTGTTTGGCGAATGGGCTTCGCTGCTGGGCCTCCAACGAACATTCGCAATGTTTTCAACGGTTCACTTTCAGTCTGACTACTTTGTCTCGCTGTCTTTTTATCTTTTTTGCGGACATGTCTGCTGAAATTTAAATCCGCTGTTGCATCATTGTCGCATATTGTGCATGTAGTTAGTTACCGTTGATATGCTCAAGTTGATGTAATTCAGAAGTTGTTCTTTCGACTGCGCAATTGTTTTAAAACAGAAGTTGCTTTATTCAACAATTTTATACTTCTGTTACACGTTTGTATTATAAAGTTTTTTTACGCAATCTCGTCGATATTTCAATTTCATGTAATCAATGTCAACTTTCGTGAAACGTGAAGTCGATGACTTTACTGATACAGCGAATAACATTTAAAATTTGAAATTATATTGTTTCTTTCATTTTTATTGCTTTAAACTGTCATATGCATATGGTATCGATAAGTACCAGATTATTTACGAAATGCAATTAGTATTACGTTAATACCTTGAAACTGTAAAAATTTCAATTGGAATGTCAGGGGTAAAAAGGGGTATGCGATTAAAATTAAAGTAAATTTCTCAAAGAGTTTGAAAAACGTAGACTCACAAGAAAAGAAATTACGTGCTATGGATTACAAAAATACATGACGCACATATTCTAACAAATTAAATTCCAAAAAAACATTTTATTTAAAAAAATTAATTTTAGTACAATGAATGCAAAATTGTTTCCGTTTACATTCTAAAAATTGTTCAATTGTTGCTCCTAATTTCGAGATGAACAAATCATCTCAATAATTGCATTGAATATACAGTTGACAATAAAAATAGATTTTTCAACTTGTATACATTATATACAAATACAACAACTGTAAAGAGAAATTCTATCAAAAATGACATTCTTTTTCAAATTTTCGGGACAATAAGATTATGATTTTTCTAAAATGTTTTCCGGTAATAACTGCAATAACCAGTCTTTAACAAACTTCAATTCTTTTTGAACAAGTTCGTGTTCAGCTCCTTCTAATGTCATAAATTTTCCTTTGATACCGACACTTTGTAAAGAGTCAAAAGTAGTTTTTCCCCATTCAAATGGAACAATATTATCAGTAGTACCGTGAAATTGTAAAAGTTCTGGTAAAGCACTAAATTTATCATTTTTCAATGACTGCAATTGAAAAGATAAATCATTATCATTTCGTTTCCATATTAAAAAAGCCAATAACAACAATGAGTATTACCTCGTAAACGGAAGATTCATTATTCAAAAAGGCAGACATTGCTAGACATCCAGCAATAGATCTTTGATATCTGTAAGCAAGATGTAACGCTAAGCAACCACCCATTGAAAAGCCTCCGACTGCTATCCTCTTCACTGGTATTCCCTCAGCAATTTCTTTATCAATGAGATCAGAAGCTTTCTTGCACATGAGGTCGACTGAATCCTTTACTTCGGGAACTCTGATGGAAATTGCTTTCCTATCGAACCAAACGTTGCTCGGCTGAAAGTATTTTTTGTTAAATATGTGTTATAATTGTTGCTATTAACATTGGTCAATTTTATGTCATTTTGATATGTAGCAATATCGAATATTTCACAGGGCACTCATTTGGATTCTTTACTTTTCATTGTATTTATTAATGATGTCATAACCATTACTAAAACATTTTTAATTTCATTTTATGCTGACGATGATAAATTATGGAACATCATAGTTTTGTAAGAAGAAGATACTGCTTTTCAAGAATATTTATTACAGTTCTATCCATAGCGATCTTTTATTTAATATTACTGAAAGTAATATAATGTATACTAAGCACAAATCTACTTACGTTTAAATACATGATTAACAACTTAGCATTATTTAGAGTAGAAGAGACAATAGTCTTGGAAGTTATTTTTGATTCTAAATTACAGTTCAGTAGTCATCCTAGCAATGCACGTAAGACGTCACGATTAATTAGAAATTGCAAAGATTTTTATAACCAAGAATCTTTATGTGCTCTCTATAATGCTTTTGTTAGATATAAGTTTGTCTATGATTCTTTGGTTATTAGTATCCGGTCTATGACGTTCGCTCAAAATTCTTTGAAACTATCCGCATGGATTTTTATGATTCTTAGATTGTAAGTTAGGTAAACGCATGGATCCTAATTCGCGTGACTATTGTATAATTTCATCATTATCGGCGTCTATCAGCTTATTAAGTTCTTTTAGGCACCGTTATGGTCTGCTATTTATTTACACAATTTGTGGCGATTTTATAGATTTTATAGATTCTATTAAACTCGTCAGTATGATTAGTTATCATGCCCCTGTATATGTTCTTTGAGACAACCCGATTACTTTTTCCACTAAATTACGCTAAGAAGAACTCAATAGTCGCTCGTGTCTGGATAGAGCTTGTAATTTAGTCAATACGAATACTAGTTTATGTAATTTTGCCAGCTATGAAATGTATTCAATTAAGAAAAGTGCTAGAAAAATAATTTGTCAATTCAAATAAACTATCGATCATTGTGAATTGGATGTAGAATAATATTTTACGTACGAGTAATTAATTTTTTTATTAATATAATGTGCAACATGTCGATTGTTATATTTTTTGAATTAAGATGACAGTGAAAGTGGAATGAGATGATGATCTTTGTATGAATATCCTGATAAAGATCATGTAACTCCTCCCATACTTCATATTTATATATTTTATAGCAACATTGTTTAAGGAGCTCACGCCTTTCAAATGTTAAAATAAATAAATAAATATTCATAGCCGCAACGATTTTATAAACGTCAATAATTTTACAGCGTAATTGCTTTAATTAACTTTGTCCTTCGACAAATAGTTAATTGGAATGTAATTGCATCTGCTGATCATTGCAAAACGATATATTTACAATTTCAACGATTTAAGTCAGAAAAATACGAAGTAAATCAGCAACTGGCAATTTCAATTAAAAACATTTCTATACGTACTTACTTTATACCGAATGCAGTTTATTTAAAAAAAAATTAAAAATAAAATGTTAATTACCGAGCTTAAGCTGTACTTATTGCGACTTACGGAAAACTAAACAATGTTGCGAAATAAAAAATAACATCATAAAGTGACTTCACTATTTGTGCGTTGTTAATTCGAATTTACTTCAAATTTAAAATAGAAAATAAACAAAAAAAACTGAATATTTAATCATGATTCTAATATGAAATTTCATAAGAATGTCATAATTCGTCGAAATTCAAAATTTTGATGCTGACGAAAACAACTTTACCATTCCCCTATTTGGAGTGTAAGGCTGAATAGGCGCAGTCGGATAAACAATTTTAATGTGCGGAAATTTAAGCTCATGCCTATTGAGTATATCTATCCATTGCTTTAAATCTTCACCACAGCCTCCTTCATTGAACAAAGCAAGAGCAAAGCGTTAGAGATATTAGCAAAACTGTATAGAATCGGAGAAAAAGTAAGAAACCTATTGGTGTTTCTCACCTGAACCGTGAAACAGAAACAACGTGGCGGTATGCCTGGTAGTCGCCTTGACAACGTTCGACCTGGGTATGTGAATGGCGGCAGCAGGTAACATTTCTGTTTACTTGTCTGTCGACGAGAATTAACGTCGCGTTCCACGGATGAAAATAGCGTCTGCTATCAGCTGACGGTCTGAGTGGCGTGAAATCGCGACAGCATGGTAATCACAACGAGGAGAATTTGTATGGGGGGTATTCCAGTGAGTGATTGGTGACTCCTCACATTGATCAATTGAATTTTGCCTGTCGATTGGTAGGCGTTCTATCCAATGATACCCTTGCGTTGTGCTGACGTTGCGCAGCGCTGAAATTTGAAAAGTTTATTTTTATTTTGAATTTTTTATTTCAAGTTGCATTAAAAGAACGAAGCAGTGATTTCATTTAAAATTATTAATTAAAGCGTTCCATCGTAGCCATTATCGATCAACTTTTAGCAGTAAATTATCGACTACAGAATATTTAGCATTGACATGCGCGTTATTATCACTGATATTGTGTTACAGTTTTGTTGAATGTTTACGAAGATCTGGTAAACTAAATTACGAAATCAGCTACGGTAAGTATAAATTGAATGAATTCAGTTTCTACTACATTTAAGTTATCAATAAGAACTGCTTGATTGGCCTAGTTTGATCGGTGCTCTCGAATAACAAATTCTAATCTAATTATATAATGTTATAATTTAGAACATTAAATAAATTATAATGAAGATTGTTTACAAAAACAGCTGATTTATATCCTTAGCTCTGACGCATGGTGGAATTGACCAAAGGGGAAAAATACTAGATTTAAACTTTTAAAAAGTCTGCACTGACACGATTGTGAATAATGTTATTCTTGATCTTGACCGGTAGCAATGAGAAGAAATAAGCGGAGTTTAGGCTAAAATAAGACTGTTTTTAGCGCGCTCTTTTGGTCGTTTTACGACTTCGCGAATCGCGCCATTCGCGCCTGCAATTGTACGGCACCTGGTGTAGAAATGAAGAACTCTAAACTCCATTCGAATATACTGTGTCGGTATTCTTACACTAACGTAAATCATATCATGCGGCTTTTGTTATTTCGAAAAGTTGACAGTATTAATGGAAAAAGAAATCTAATCGAAAGCAATACCCGCGTTCTTCGTGAGTTAGCAATTTTTTCAAGTCAGAAAATCAATTGTTAACGGTGCATGCGCAACATCGCCAACTGAGCATTTGCAATTATGATTGTTTATCAATGACAAAATTGAAAATCCAAAGAACATTCTGACTGCCTATATTTTCGCATTTGGCGCGTTGTCGCTCCAAAACTATACTATAATTCGTTTGTCAGCTGCTGAACAGTTGCTGTATACCTGCAGTTGTGTTCAAACATACGCAAGTACATATAAGCGAGTGCGCGACGCGTTACGGCACGGCACACCTGAGTATTTACAAATTCACATTCGTGAACGCGCAGTCATTCATTGATCGACCGTAATCGCCGTATCCTTAGCAATGATCCAGAGAACTTTCTGTGAGTAATCGTCTTGAAAATTGATTACGAGCGGAAGAATCGCGAGCGTCGATCGCGGAAAGCCGCCAATATCCTCGTTTCGTCCTGCTCGCATTGGTGCTTGTCTCTGTCGCGCGCGCGTCGTCGCAACGGCGCCGGTCAATACACAAAGCTGTGCGACGCGCGTTCGCCAAACATACCTATACTTTTGGAGCGGGAGAAGAAAGACTCCTAACCTCTGTACATCGCATCCTCTCCGGAAGAGTCTCTTGTATAGTGTTTTGAGAGATACCGTTTTTGTGTGTCGATATAATGCGCAGCAATGGCAGCAGCGCTCGAGTTTACTGATAGTAATAGGAATTCCGAGAATTCTGGTAATTTTACGATCCAATCTCTCTCTTTCTCGCTCTCTCTCTCTTATCCTACGACATGTAGTTGCTTTTCCCCGCAACCTTCAGTCAGGTGAAAGTCATTGTTGTCAAGCGCATACCCACAGCAAACCTCATCTTTTAGCTCCAGTATGTTCTAGACTAGACGATTAGATCATTTTCCTTTATTTTGCTATTGTACGCTCGTTTGCCATTGGTATTTTAAAAGTGCTTTGGTTTGATCCCCAGCTCACCTGATCGACACTCGTAGATGTCCTTCAAAACTTTGCTCGTACACAGTAAACTCTTTATTGTCTATTACTTCGTAAATATCAGAGGTATTCTTTGCCTCGTAGCCGACTGCTCGCCGACGTGCGGAAAACGGTCTGCATGCGCGTTAAAGAATCACGGAATCAAGGCCGTACTTACTTCAAGAATGAATAATATTTACAAGCGGAAGTTGCAGAGAACAAAAGACGGAGGAAAAGTGCGGGCGCGCTAGGAATAGAGCAATTAGAAGCGCGCGGTCGCGTCGTTATATCGTCGACCCAAGCCGATTGTTCTTTCCTCGCGCCGCGGTGGAAGGCGACGATCAAGCCTCAAATTTAGCGCCGCAGCCACTTGGAAATCTTTCCCCCCTGGGGCTTTTCACCTATGCTCTTTCATCTTTTTAAACTACCCCCTTGCCCTTCCAACACACCCATCCCCGCCCCCCTTCTTTTACACGACCTCTTGCAAATTCAAAAGATCATATAGCGCACACATTCACTTTCGAGTGCCTTTGGAAATCAGCCTTTTTTTTCGAAATTCGAATTAAATGGTTGCCGTGCAATTGCCAGCGATTTTCATTTACCCGCGAATGCTATGTTATTTTCGAAATTTATGCGAATCGATACAAGAGTACAGTATTTACATTCTCTTTTTCTCTTTCTCTCTCGTGTGGCATCGCATGTCAAAACTCAATATTGACCGCGCGCGGCTATTTCATACGCAATGCAGTGGAGAAATGGGCCGAACGAGTCCGCGTATAGGGAAGAGAAAAAGTTCAAATGCCCGGAAACATTTGAGAAGGCCAGCGGATAGTCTTCTATTGGTTCATCAACCGCATCAGCAGTTTGCTTATCTACCTTATTCCCACAAAAATAGTTTCCACGCGATGCCGTTGAAGGCCTGATTTAGCGTTACACGCGCGTACAGCACAGCTACGTACGGTAGGAAGTGCGCGCCTATATGTTTCTGGGGCGATTCACTGGTCGTGGAATCACTTAAATGGCTCACCACTCTTATCTCGAGCTGCACAAACAGAACACGAACGAGTCACTCAGCACTACGTCTTTGAGTAGGCTTGTTTTTACTTCCTTCACCCAGTTTAACTGTATATACAACGGAGTCGATTCTATTTCGAAAGAGCATCGATGTCCGGACGTTCGTGCAGTAAGCCTGCCTGCTTTCGGACAATAAAACACGAGGATAGTCCACAACAGCAGCATATGAGGATATCGAGCGGCCGTAAGGCTCGTAAAGCCGCTGCTGGCAGGCCTGGCGCGCAAGCGTGCATATGCCGATATGCTCGCATCGCGCGAGCTTTGCGCGTGGGTCTGCGCGGCTCGACAACGTCGTCGCAGCCGGTCGGAAGTTCACGGCGCGAAGACGCGGACACGTCGCGCGTTGGCAAACAGGCGGCAACGCGACACGCGTCACGCCCTCGTTCTAAATTAGCAGCTCGGTTTCGCGCGCGTATCACTTTCGCGCGCGCCTAGGTACCTCCGCGAGGATCGTCGCCTCTCGGCAGCGAGCTCGCCGCCTGATATCAAGCCCGTGATCAAAGTTCAATTGACAATTGCGCTCCGTCGCTGTCGGACGAGTCGCGCGGGGCCGCCAGTTCAATATCGCGAGGAATACCACGCGCGCCCCGTCGATCGCATCTCTCTCGTCCCTGCGGCTCGACGCTTAGCCGAAACAATGCGGTTATCCTCTCGGAATTTAGCCCCGTATGCGCGAGCAAGCTGGGCTTCGCGCTACCTATGCGGACGATTCGCGAGAGCTAAGCGCGAGCTTGAGTTTGCAAGCGCGCGCGCTTTATCTTACCTCGCTTTTTGTTTGTCCGCGTTGCTTACCGCGGCTTTTTCGTTGCCCCCCCCCCTCCCCGCCTAACAATCCGTATTTGTAAAAATAAGAAATGATGTTCGATAGCGTGAAAAAAATCGTCTGTTTCGTTTCGCTGTTTCGTGCGACGCAAATGAAAAGAGCAGTGAACGAAGAAAGTCGAGCGATGCTCAACGTACATCGCTGCTCACAGCAATCCGAGCGTGAAACGAGGGGGTTTGGCCATTCGAAATTGCTAAACAAAATGCGCATCCGCACTTCCCTTGCGGTTCCCTCTCGCTTTAAAAGCCGGACACGAATTGGTCCAGGCTGCGTACGCGTGTATCGGAAGCACGTCTCGTTTGCAACGCACACACGACGACGACGACGACGTCGGGGCTAAGGTCAGCGACGTGCTTTCGCGGATAATGGTTAATTACCATGAAGAGCTTTGAAATACAGAAGAACGGAGAATGTACAGCGTGTCGTGTGCCTCGCATTAGATACGTTACGAGGCTGACGACAGCAGGAAGGCACAAACGCTTCACCGTTTAAGAGCGCGCGCCGAATGTGAAATCAAAGCGACTTCTGACCTTTTCACGCATCGACGAGCGCGCGCGCGCGCGCGGGGGAACACCGCGGCGCGACGTTCTGACGTTCGATCGTGCGTTCGCGCGTCGCGGCGAGGCTGCGCTGATGAGAAATGAACGTCGAGCGGAAGCGGAGAACTATCGCAAGTAGCGCGCGTCCGGCCGCGCGATCGAAACGTGCAAGAACGCCGCGAATATACGTGACGTTAAGCGTGAGTTTTCGCGCCGGGCGCCTCGTTGTACATGCGGCTGCGCTCGCCCCGGCCTCTGTGTACGCGTGTGCGTGCGCGTGTGTGTGCGTACGCGCGTCGCGATGACAGAGAAAGAGCAAAGCCGAGAGACCGTGGCTCGTGCGCCGAGCCAGCTCTGTGTAGTCGTGGCGAGGTTTAGTGCAGCTTCTGGATTCGACACGATCACCTCTGCGACACGCGCCAAATCCTGCTCCCAGTGCGCGCGCGCGCGTCAGCTCTTTCTCGTGCGTGGCAATCGGCAGTTTTCGCGACGATCTTAGACCTCTCCGCTCGCTCGCCCGCGTTTGCCATTAACCAGTGGACTTGGACGTCGCCAGTGAACAAAGTTCGCGTTGGATGAGCGCAAGCCTTCGAATCTTGGCAAGCGTGTTTTTCGAGTTCGAGTAATTGTTACGAGCTTTTGCCAATGATCGATATCTGCAAGAAAGAGAGATTTCTCGTTTTGATCGAGTGCTTTCCCGACGTGATTGTTGATAGGCCCCGTCATATCTCTGTGAATTTCAATTTTCATGCGCTATATCGTGGCCTTTGACCGATGAGACCTCAATTGAACAGAATTTCGGTACTATTGCACGATTAGACATGTGTAGCTACCGAGCAGAAGTGATAATAATTCAGTTTGAATCATTGTTAACGGCCATGGTGCATTGAATTTCCTGTGAATCGAATTTCATTTTGACAAATCAATGCACATTGTTAGAGCCGTTCCTGCCAGTTGCATCCGCTATCAAGCTCTAATCGAAATTGACAGCTTAATCTTGTCAAACGCGTCGAACCGATTTTCCTCGCTGACAGACCAAATGGCTCGAATTGCTTTACCAAGCCGCGATGAAAAAAAGACAGCGCCGATGTCAGTCGCGGCAGTTGCAATTTTTTTAATTTGCCTAATGCACAGAACAGGCGCGCTCAGGCGGCAGATCTGACACGGATCGGAACGCGACGCACGCAATTCGTTCGCGAGCGACATAAGTGCAATAATAAAAGCTCGTGTATTGAGTGCGCGCGCCTCCTCGGAAAATGGACCACTAAATCAGCTACATGAAAGGAAAGAAAAGACAGAGAGAGAGAGAGAGAGAGAGAGAGAGGATCTCGTGTTGCTTGTTTTTGTGGCTGTTCGTTATGAAATGTCACGCGACGCCGAGAATTGATATTGCGCCTGGATTTTTCGAGTTGGAGGGAGAGAGAATGCGCCTTGAATGCAAATTAAGTCCATTTGTGTAACCGAACGAGCTGGTTTTCGTGTATGATTCTTCTCGGATGGAGCTTAAAGTTATCTTGATAATTTATTATATTTTAGGTCGGCGATCGCGTTTACGGCACTCTTAGCCGAATAGCTCAGACGCGCGACCGATTGCCCGTCGCTAACGATCGTTTTCGCGAATCGATACTCTTTGCGAACGCTCGAGCCACGGCTTTGTTGGCACAATACACGAGTACTTCGTTTCAATTAGCAAGCATAAACGTTTGTTCCCTTCTCGGCATATAATCCAATTGTCTCTTCCGCTTTTCCTACCATTTCAACGAGTTTCTTAACGCGTGGAAGCCTCGCGAGGCAAAATCCTCGATTCGTTGCCATGAGCTTTCTCGAAACAATACGCAATTTCACACAAATTCCGCTTGCTCTCTTTTCATACCTAAAACCTAAAACCACACGATAAAGGCATAAAGGCAACCGCTCGACGGAATCTTGCTTGCACTGGTCCGACATGAAGCATTTTTACAGATAGGCGTAAGAAATCCATCGTAACAGCGAACATTAGCGGAATAATGGAAGGAGCGAGCTTGATTTTGTTACAGCAGAACCCGACACGTAAGAGCCACACTCGAAAGTTGTCGAATCACAATTGAAATCGGCCCGCGTGCTTCGTATAAATCATCATCCCGCCGCGAAATTGAATGACTCACTCGTAATATATCTATCCATCGTAGCATGCGAAACTCATAAATAACGCACCCTCTCGCGTCAATTGACATAAGCAATGTACTCATCTCGACGCTCTCTTCTTTTTGCCCTCCTCTCCGCCTCCCCTCCTCCTTTTGCGCAATATCTCCTGGGCGTCCTTGATACCCTGCCTCGGGCCTTATCTCCCCACTCCCTCCCGTCTTTCTTTTTGTTTCCGGTGGATGCTGTGCCTGTGCTACGGCTCGCTCTCCGTGAATACACATCCTGGAACGAAACCATCGAAAACAAAAACAAAAAAAAAACATACAACTCTGCGGCTGCGAAACTACGTCATCGTCGTCATCCCCGCTACTCTTGCTGCCTCGGTCGGCTCGCTCTCAGCGGTAAGTCTCTTTCGCAGCCGACGTGCTGCTGCTGCCTTTACGATATAAGCGCTTTTTACAACTTCAGTTTTCACGCGACGCGCGGACTGTACGCAACTGAGCCGTCTGAGACACAGCCGCGAGTCGAGTAAGCGACTTTTTTTTAGTCCGGGCAGATCCCAATACAGTTTACGAGTGCTCCTTTTCCAACGGTGTCTTCTGTCTGCGCGCACGCGCGCGCGTGTGTGTGTGTGTATGTGTGTGTGCGCGCGTGCGTGCGCCTATGCATGTGTATTGTGATATATTTAATGACATTCGCGCGTGAGATTTTCTGCAGTGAGTTCCACATTTTTTTTTTCATTGAAAATAGTGCTTTTATCGAGAGAAGATATTTTCGCCGGAAAATCAGGTTTAGTTAAAAAAAATTAATAGGATTTTCCGTGATTTCGAGCGAAAGATATGGACAGGCTGCGTCGCGGAAATACCTCGCCGTGACGATGATGAATACAATTCAGCGTATAAGTCATAGCATCGGCTGATAATGAATCGCTATGCTCGGAAAAAATACTGACGGGTCGGTTGCTGTTAAATCAATTAGTAAGCAAAGTTCTTTTTGCTGGCATTCGCGGTATTCGGAGCTTTTTTCCTTTCTTTTCTAAAGTCGAAACAAACATTCGGAATACCGCGGCATTCCGGGAGATCACGCTTTATGTATAATCTTATCGTGCTTACCGGAAGTTTTATAAATAACGTCGCAGGCGCGTGCGTAACCGATAACAATAGAAGCATCTGTGACGCGGGAAGAGTCAATTGCATCGAATCGTCGCTCTTTCCCAATCAATATATTCTCGCCGATGTGTTAATACAATTAGAATTGACGGAGCGGCAACGAAAGAAAAGAAAAAGAAAGATAGAAAAATGACAGACTCTAACGCGATTGTCACGCTCGGCACACATAGGCAATTAAGCAGCACGTATCCCGTCTCGCTAAACATTCGCTCTCGCGCGACCTCACGCGAGATCGCATTGGCAGTGCGGTGGGGGGACCTTCGAATATTCGAGGTCGCGCGTCTTGCATACGAGATATATCCCGCGCGCACATGTGTCCGCGCGCGCGCGAGAAGCAAAAAGACAAAAAGAGGCGAAAATCGCGCGCCACGTGAATTCCATCGAGCCGACGTCATCTTTGCGATTCTAGCGCGCGTTCGAGGATATCTTCTCTCGATACTTGGTCGCAGCAGTGTGAACGCAGGGGCGATAAAGTGTGCCTCGTTGTGGATCGATCGATCTGTCGAAAGTAAGAGAGGATGAGCGCGGAGCCGATAAAACTATCGACGCCCAGCGCGGCGCAGCAGAGGGGTCGACTCAATCCGGCCGTGCTCGCAGTCTACAATGCCAAGATGAATCATAATAGCGACGAGCATCACCAGGTATATAAGATACTCGCGACATGCTCGGTCCGATTTACGCGAGGGGCCATTAATTACGCTCGCTATCCGCCACTTTGTGATTCACCAGTTGCGCAATGAGAGTTGTGTAAGCGAACCGAAGCAAAGACCAGTTTTTCGTTGTTGCGCCCGCCATTGGCACGATATAACGACGTACATTCTCTCGATACGAATCGGAAGGATCAAAGATTTGTTCGGGGGGGTTTTTTGTTCTTCAAGAGGTCGAATGCCGGGGTTGCATTGTTTTCACCTCTCGGCAAGGTTTTACGGAAAACCAAAAATTTTTTTAATTGTCAAATTTTTCTTCGCAATTAATTATACACAGTGAGTTGTCCTCGTACTCGTTTTTTCATAGTTGTGAGGGTTCACAGCGGGAGTAATTCATTACGACGTACACGCGAACATCATAAAATGCAACTTTACGTTCCACCCTAGCAACGTTCATCTCTCTAGACGAAAAGTGTCATTTCAAGAATTATTAGAACCGCCGAGCCGTAACGCGAGCATTCTCTCTGTAGAGCTGACTGCTGTAGTAAAAAAACTCCTTCGACCGCGACACTTGCAATCAGTCTTTACCTTGTAAGGCTTCCCAAGCTAAGCAATACAAACGGACAAATAAATCTCCCTTACGCACGTGCGTTTTCTTAATTAGCGAATGCATTACGTTCGGTCCTTTTCTGTCGTCGCCGTCGCCGAGGATTAAAAAAAGAAGTAGTTGTAGTCGCGTAGAATCTTTCGTGTGCGCGGAGCTGAGCCGTAAAGAAAAAGAAAAAAGAAGAGCGGCTAGCTCGTTTTGCTTTTACGATAATGAGGGAGTTTGCGCGATTACCGGCGAGCCTCGTTGAAAGGAAAGAAGTTTACTGTAATGCTTGCAGAGAGAGCGTCCTTAGCTTTCATTGTTTGAGAGTCATGATTTTTTTTTGCGTGCGGTAGTTGGAAAACCCGTCTATTCTCTGCTTTAGCTTGAAGTTTACAAAATACTAAGATCGTCGTGAGGTTTGTGTCTAAAGGATCACTGCTAACAAGTTCTCTTTGGTAAGAAGCTGAATGCGTAGCTTTTTTTTACTCCACGAGTGTCATAAATCAGATTAGTGCTGTGAAATCATTTTCTTTGCAGGTCAGACTTCGGTATTCAGCAAAAATATATTAATCTTATGCGTAGTGAAATAACAGCGAAAGCTCCAATAGATATTCAATTTACGCGACTGACTCCAATTAAAAAAACATGAACGTCCACAGACATGAAAAAAAGTAGAGCACAGAGTGAACTCATTGACCGTTATCGAATGACCCATTTGAAAGTTATTGTGAGCACACACGAAGACGACAAATTAGCCAAGAGAGCCGTAACCGATGTGTGGCATCCGCGTGTCAATACGTGCGTCACGTATCGGGAAGTACGATAGGCGTGCGTGCAAGTAAAGTTAGCCTAGGTCTTAATTGGCATCGAGGAGTTGCGCGTCTGTGTATACGGGTCGGGCGCCCATCCTTTGGCCACTTGCCAATCGACGACGATACCATTATCGCGCGCCTGCCTTGTCGATTTTCGACTCGCTCACGCGCATTTGTCTTCGTAGTCTTCGCTGCCCCATTTATAGCCGCGTATGGAGCTTTTTTTTTGAGAAGAACGCGCGTCATTCGGTTCTGCAGTTGTGACTTTTGTGCTCGATGCAGTTCGTTTTATCTTGCTCGTCGTGAGTGCATTTGGAGAAAGAGGACTTGAACAAATTTGAGTGCGGATGTAGGGAGACTCTTGTTGCTCTTCTGTATGCTTAGTGCGTGGTATTACTCGCAAAGAGCTAACATTTTACTTGCATATAAAATTCGGTCTTTGGACAATAATTTCTACCTAAAACTGATCACACGACCTTAAGAATAAAGTCGTCGTGCTTGCGGTTCGAAATCGTCTCGAACGGTACAGTAAGCTCTTCTCGACAGAGTCAGATTATATAGCATAAACGTTTGATGGCATATTTAAAGCCGGGCGTGCCGCGATCAAAGCATGTATGCCTAAGGAATAATGCATCAGCGCAGAGTGACGATTTAAAAAGTGGTCTTAACGGAGCTTCAAGAACGTGACAGTAATCAGTGATCGATTATGCTAATAAGATATAATTATGATTTACAGTGAGATTATGTTAATAAGATACGTGAACTGTACTCGTCGCACATATACCGCGCACATTGCGGGAAATTATTCAAATTGCATCGATCGTTGCTGTGTTCAGTATTTAAAAACTGTATTATTGAGCATTTTGTACGGGGAGGTGAAGCTAGCTGCTCTATTATAGCCCAGTTGGCCATCAGTTCGTGTATTAGTCCCCGACATAAACGTAGGAGCTGCTGCGTGCAATCTATATGCGCTCGTCGCGTATGCAATGTCGCATTCGCCTTCGCTTAATTGAAGGCTCGGAGGCGCACCACCGCAACGCTCGCGTGTGACGTCGACGGGACCAGGTTCGGTGATGCGCGCGCGGCAAACGGCTGAAGAGCCAACGGTCTTCGCAGGGCAACGTACGCGCGCGAAAGGCTTGTTTGTGTGTGTTGAATGTCGGTAAGAGGTCTCCGACTAACGAATTTAAAGATATGGGATAATGCTTGTTGGAAAAGCATCCGCTGCGTGACGTCGCGCCGTTCGAACGTTTTATCAGGATGAGCTAATCGAGGGAACTTACCAAGCAGTAATACGGATAACAAATGTTAAGCAATGTATGATTTTTTCATTCCGATTAGTGCTACGGAATGCATTGGATTTGTGATGGCGATAAAATTATTTAATAAGTTCTACCTGTAAGATAAACGGATACGCACTATCATTCGTACAAATAAAGCGTTGATATCCAAGGAAAAAGGCACTCGTATTTATGTAAAGACAACGAATCTTTGTTTTTATGGATAACAACGCTTTAAAATTGGTCGTGCAGCTCGTCGCTGCTCTGATTCACTTGCGAAATGCCGCGTGAGATATCGATGCATATGTCACTTTAAAAGTTTCTTCACTGTAAACGTGGCTTTCGTTCATGTGAGATTGTGATAAAAAACAATTTCTTTCTCCGTGTATAGCCGTATACCAAAACTTTTCTTGTCAGTGTACTTGAATAAACTTACAACTTGATTTTCAAAGCCCAAGCTGGTGCAATTTTACCTGCAGCATTGCGCCACAGCGCCCCGAAGCTATCGAACTATCTCGCACGAGCATCTTTATCTGGCGATATTCTCATCGCAGAGCCTGTCTGAATACATTAGCTGTGCGTGTGTATATAGACGTGCTTTCTCAACGCACGTACCTACCACCCGAACTTACCGTTTTAGTATTATGTACTTTGAAAATATATGAAATGATAATTCCATGGACGGTCGAATGCCATTTGGGTACGATATTTAAAAACCCAAAAAGTCATTCAAAAAATTTGCATTATGATACTAATAGTCAGAACGATGTAGGAATTCAACTTCAAATTTAAACCGATAAATTTCGTTTTACATACTTAATAGAACCTTATTTTCAGAACATTTATAGCAGATTTTTTTTATTATGACAAAATATCTGGTAGGCTTATAAAAAGAAATCCGTGTTTTACATCGTAAAGCTCTCTGCCGAAAAAACTATGTTTTGCATGCAAATAAGGCTTATGACTGCTGCTGCATATATATACTACGCCAAGAGGAGGTCGGATAGGGTGCACGTGCATGTCGGGATACTCGTACGAGATCGCGTATAATATACGCAAAAAAAAGAAAGAAAAAACGAGAAGAAGAGTAGAGTTCTCGAGAGTATAGCCGCAGAAAGTCGAGCTGTGCGACGACGATGACGACGACGAATCGCGAACGTCCTTGACGCTACTTTCTTCACTCGCACTCAAGTGCTCTGCCACTACTCGGCGTCACACAAGCACTTTGCGACTCGTTAAAAAAAAATAACATGCGGGTCGTGTGTTTGTCTACCAATCTAAAACTTGTACGTTACATCCCGTAACTCGCGAAAAATGGTGCACGGCTCTTTTCTACGAGGCTGTTGCGCTCTTTTAATGTGGCGATTTCTTGCCTAATTAGCGGATATGGTTCTTATTGTTTTTTAGCTGTATCGTGAAAAGCTCTTTTTGTCTATACTTTGTTGTGTTCGATGAAAATAAAATATTTGCATGAAATGTTAAATGACGCGTTCGATTTGTATCCAAAGAAAAATTGTTTTGCGATAACCCAAAAGTTTCTTTGTATGTGAAAAATCGAATTCGACAGTCTCTTTGTCAATGATGCATTTAAATGCATTTTGTCACCATATTTTTCGTATTTACTCCGAATCGGACGTATATTGAAGTTCATTCAAATACATTTGAAACCAGACAGAAAGCTCTTTCGTTCCAATTTTACGCGATTTACTCAATAGCGATATGCTTTTTTCCAATTAAATTAATTGAATTGCAAAGGTACATTTTATCGAGTACGTGCGAGTAATGTCAATTGAAATTGCGATACATTACATTTTATCTTTAAATTGTGCACTCGATTTTTTTAGCAAAATGGAACAATACAAATGACATTAGATTAAGGTTTATTGGGGTAGATTTTATTTCACTCATTTCCGCTATGGAGCATTGTCAAGGAACACTTATCGCTAATTGTATCAATGAAATAGATAGTTATTTTTCTTATTTATTAAACTTGTCTTTTTGTAACAGTTATTAAAGCGCAGAATTCTGTTTCAACAAAATCAGTGATGGAGTTACGAATATTGAAAAAAAACGATAAGAGAAAATATACGATACGTTTTTTCTTGACTGAAAACTAAAAAATATTTTTCAGTTAAACGAAGAGTTTGCGTTTGATCTTTAAAGAGAGAAGATGTGTTTACATTGAGCACTACTCGAAAAACTAACGTATTAACCAATCAAATGACAGTTAAATTAAATTAATTGTTCTACATCATAACAAAAAAAAATAATGGCCAAAACGGCTACTCAGACAAGGGATACAATGGCTGC